TTATGACGTTGCTGATAATGTGTCTTAAGCCAAATTGGCAGTGCAACTGATTCTTTCTCACAAATATATTTAATTTATCCCAAATTTTGAATTCTGTCCCTTGAGTATTTTAACCCTTTATACCTCCGAGCAGGTGAATGGAAATGTTTCTCTGGCCTGAAGGCTTCTCCGACACACCAGATATGCTGTTAGAAATGCTTCTTTTCATGATGATTCATCTTTAATTGTGGTTAACCTCTGGCACTGTGGTTCAAATGCTCTTTATGTATTTTTCCAAACTCCTGGTGGAATGAGATGCTTTATTCGCTTTGCTCCCCTACACTCAGCTGTTCTGCTGCATAGATGTTGTCATTCTGCATAGCACTGGGTCACCAACGTCACCTATATCTACAAACAGTTAATACCATTCAATCAATTAGTGGGATCTCGCACCGTAACATAGAGGGTTCGGTTTCGGCAATGATTTAGTACATTTGAAAATACATTTAATTTCTGGTTAATGGGGTCTCAATTGTAACATGGTTCACAAGGACTTCAGGTGATCACCCCAGCTAATGCATGTAAATCAGTTTGGTCTCAGCTCAGGAAAAAGTCTCTAAAAGTCAAAGGATCATTTTCTAATGTTATTAAAGATCCCGTCAAGACCAACCAACTCTGTTCTTTAATTGCATTAAACACAACAAGTGTTTCATATTCAAGTTCTGCACAGCTGCTTAGTTACACAGGCAAAGAACTCTCCTCGGCCCAGGATGGGTGTCTGAGGAGTGAAAGGTATACAACAACAACGATTTGCATTTACATAGTGCCCCTCACACAGGGTAGCGTCCCAGAACCTATAAAACAGCTTTCTCTCGCCATGTTGGTTTATTGCTGGATGTGACATTGCTCTGCTTCCACTTGCATCAACATGTTAATTTAGCAATTGTAGGAGTTTTTACTTGATCTATGTTCACAGAAAAAAATAAGGCAATTTATTTCACTGCACATTCTGTGAACCAGTGAAATTATTATTAGAAATGTACAGCATGAGACAGTATTAACACTATAACAACAACTTGCATTTATATAGTGCCCTTCACACAGGGTGGTGACAGTGGCGGAGTCTGACCCTGAGCCAGGGGGAGAGGGAGGTGACCGTAAGCACAATCAAAAAGACGGGATTTGAAAGAGGGGAGGGAGGGGACAAGGTGGACGGATTGAGCGAGTGAGTTCCACAGTTTCGGGGGAGGAAAAAGCATTTTCCGAGGTGCATTTTTGGTGATTTGTTCAGAAGGACTCGAAACATGCGAGTGCGGTTCCACTAAATTGGATGAGGGGGGAGAGAGGCGGTGGTGGAGGATGGCGTGATCGACTGTGTTGAATGCGGCGGAGAAGTCCAAAAGAACGAGGAGGCAGATGGAGCACTGTCACGGAGAGAGAGGATGTCACTTGTTACTTTGACGAGCGCTGTCTCTGTGCTGTGGGCAGGGCAGGACTGTAGATTCCTTCAGCTCAGGCCTTGGACTCCAGTGATCTATCTTGTACTAATCAACTGCCAATAACCTGCACTTATACTTATATCTCTTGTTATTGCATTTTGCAACTAGATATTACTGAACTCAATCACTTCAGTCAGTTATTTAAAGTATAATTAACGAGAGCTGAATTGAGTTAACTGACACACAAAACCTACTTACCCACTTTAATGCTGTTATCTCTGTGGGTATGGTCAGTGCATATTTAATAATCATACAAATATTCTTGCATTTGATATAGCACCTTATCATGTCAGCGAGGCATCTCAAAGCACTTTGTAGGGTTTACATAAAGTGCAGTGTATTTTGTAGGTGAATACACACAATTTGCACACAGCAACATCCCACAAACAGCCATGAAGTGAATTGTTGGCCAGGGCAGGAGAAATTCCATTCTCTTTTGGAATAGTGCCATGAGACCTTTAATGTTTACCTGAATAGGCAGCCAGGACCTTGATTTTCTGTTTCATATCCGAAGAACTGCACCTTAAAACAATGCAACGCTCCCCCAGCACTGTACTGGAATGTCAGCCTCGACTTTATGGGTTCAAAGCCCTGACGTGTCTTTAACCCACAGCATTCTGACTCAGAGACAAGCGTAATAACTCTGAAAAATAATGCTTGCATTTGATAAAGCACTTTTTCAAGTCTTCTAGACGTCTCAAAGCGCTTCACAGAATATACTGTAAAATGAATTGACTGTATGAGTGACCAAATTATTATTGTGTTTTGTTTTTTTCTTGAGGGATTATTATCAGGCATGTGGAGTAAGGAAACGTGCCCAAGGTTTTCTCCCTGCCGGGAATCAAATCCAGGTCTCTCGCTTGCGAGGCGAGTGCTCTAACCACTGAGCTACAGGACTTCACAAGTATACCACCATTGAGCCAGGCTGACACCTCTTACCTTAACTTGCTTTGTGGTGAATCATAAGTATGAACAAGTAGCCTAACACCTTGTTGTACAGTAGATCAACACACTAGCTGGCTTCCCATGTGCAAGAAGACAGGCAATGATGTGTTCCCATGTTCTGGAAATCCCATTCCCTGTAGTAAATGCATCTAAACAGGCTTCAGTCTTTCAATCCCTTTTCCTGAGAAGCCGCTTCCCTCTCGCCTCCCCCAGGATATGAACCATGAGATTTATCCTGCCTGCACAACCTTGACTGCACACTCTCTTGTCCTTGCTACCTTGGCAAATCTGAGTTGTGCTCTGCATTTTCTTTTTCAATCCCATCCGGAGGGTGTCTGCAGCCTTGGAGACGAAGAAGAAAAAATGCAAAGCATAAACCCCATTCGAATTTGATGTTAGCAAAAAGTGACACTAATTGCTGTGTTTTTCTTTTCTTTTAAAAAAAAAGGAGACGTCCCATAAAATACATCAACAAAAGAAGCCTTAAATTGTTTGATAATGCTGAGTTGAAACTTCAATGAAATGTTTCACTGGCACCTTTTAAATTAGGCAACATCGCCACCTAGTGTCTGAGCAAACTAAACTACTCTTAATACTTCTTATAGTTTTTGTTGGTGCTGTGAATTTGTCTGCCACCACACGTATGAAGGCATTTTTTTTATTTGCCGGTCTAGGTTTGACCTTGATTCACCCCCAGCTCCCTCTCCCAACGCAGAGGCTGCCACGAATTGAAGCAAAACTAAGCATAAGGAAGTAGGCCTGGGTCCCTGCAGTTCTATTATGCATTACGGGGGAAAAAATACCAATGTAAATTCCAAACCTCAAGAGGCTTGATTCAGTCTTACTTTTGACTGTTTTTGTTCTTACAAACGCTTGTATCTTGTCATTTTGGATTTGCGCTCAGCTTCAAGGTGATGATTCAAAAGAATTCTGTAATTCACCGTCGCAAAATACCTGCAGTAGCTTTAAAATACTGCACAATAACTTTGCTTCATGACCCACCAAAGGTTTTATAAGAAGCCCTTGTAAAGCACGGAATAAGTAAGCACAGAGTGGAAAACAGTTGCAGTGCTCAGTTTATTGTACAAGCGAGCAAGATCTCTTGCAACTCAGAGCAACAAAGCACCGCCATGTTAATGTTTAGCTCCCTGTGGAAAATACAGAAACAATAGAATTTGTAACTGCCTTCGAGCTGTTTTTGTCCATGTGCTAAATGGAGAAAAAGAAGGGACTTTTTTTTGAAAATACAACATTTGTTGTAATTTATTTCTATTCCCCTTTCTGCCTACCTCCTCTCCACTCTTTATACTCCATTCTTTTGCCTCTCCTTTTGCTTTGTGTCTCTCTTTGCCTCACAAAGCATTGAGAAAGGGGGCAGGCAACCTGTTTCCACGTCTTTATATTTGCTGTTGAATGACTGGCAACACGAAGCAATGTGGGTTTGTCCCTCCAGTGTCTCTCCCTGATAATACCCCTGATAAACTTTTTAACTCGCTGTGTGGGGGAATGACGGGTGTGAACTTCTGCCCACTCACACTGATTTTGTTAATTTCACAGCTATTTCACTGGGTTGACCTCAGTTGTTACTTCCACATAGGTCTTCTCAGTGTTCTGTGTACTGGATGGAGTAAATACTGATCCCACATTTTTATACGAAGCCTCAGATATTTAAAATCTCCTGGATAATATATGTTCTTGCATTTTCTCAATTCAATTTGAACACCAGCCTACTCCTATCACATTTGATCCTAATTTCTCCAGCCAAGCACTTAATTTAATCTCTGGCAACAGATAACAGGAAGGATATGGTTGCAATGGAGAAAGTGTAGCATAGATTTACTGGGAGTGAATGGATACAGCTACTAAAGATTGGACAGGTTGAAGCTTTTCTCCCTGGAGATGAGATGATTGAGACTAGACCTGATAGAGGTGTATAAAATCATGAAAGGATTTGATAAGGTGGACATATATAGCCTGTTTCCACTTGTTAAATCCAAAACGAGGCAATGAAATTAAATAGCCAGTAGCAGATCTGAAGGGAAGTTCAGGGGGAACTTATTTGTGCAGAGGGTGGTGAGGATGTGAAACTCACTGCTGGAAGCTGTGGTTAAAGCAAATAGCATCAATATTTTTAAGAGGAAATTTGATAATGATGATAATAATAATAATCTATACATTTAGAATAGTGACTTTCATGTTGGGAGGATGACCCATAGCACTTCATAGGATGTACTGTAAAGTGCAGTGACTGTGGCTGAACATGAGAAGGGAATAGAGAGATACAGAAGAGGGGATTAGATGGGTTGGGGACTCGTGTGAAGTATAAACACTGGTACAGAATGTCTTGTTTCAATGCTCTTCATTCTATGTAATATAATTTTTTAAAAAACGATTGTGTAGAAATGGAGCTTTAACATGCAGCCCACAGATTTGAAAGCATACAAGGACAACACATACATTGGTCAGAAGTACAGAATGAACTTGCTGTATTCATTCTTTGTAATCATGTTTCTTTCTCTAATTTCGTTTTCACTCTCTCTCTCTTTCTCTCTCTCTCTCTCTCTCTCTCTTTCCTAGGCAGGAGTGGAGTGGTTGCAGATCTGTTGCCAGGTTTTGATGTAGAGTTTATGCCAGGTACTGGTATTTCTCGTGAAGTCCGTTCTTCCCTCTAACCCCTCCCCAAGCCCTCCACCACCTGCACTGACTGTGGTACCAAAGTGTTCAGTTTGTTTCCCATCACAACAATTGTAGCAGTAAGTAGGAACCCGGTTGTTAATCATTTGGCGGATCTCTTTTCACCAAAAACAAATTGTCACTTCACCGAACAAAATGTGACTGTTTGTGGGATACTGCCATGCGCTTCTGTTTACCTAGCAGTGAGTAGGAACCGGATTGGCGATTGGTGGATCGCTTTCCCGGGGGTAATAATTCCTTCAAAACAAAAATCCCCCCCAAAATAATAATAATTATTTGCTCACTCAGTCCACGACTGTTTGAGGGACACTGCTGTGCGCAATTAGCTGCCGCGTTTCACCCACAAAATATACAGTCGATTCACTTTACAGTAAATTCTGTGAACCACTTTGAGACGTCTTGAAGAGTGATAAGGTGCTATATCAAATGCAAGGATTATTATCATTATTATAAGTGACACTATCTGCCAACTGGGAGGTACAGAATCCCACCCATAATTTATTTTTATGACCAAGATCAAATTCACACACAGTTTGCAGCCACTTCAACAGGTGATTCATTCACCTGTTAATTTGAGGTAAAATTGAGGAGTTGGTTACAGGAGGAGGGTGGGGATGTTAGCTTGTCTCAGTGCTCCTTTGTGTATAGTGTTTCTTTACATCGGCCGCTAGTTTGCCACTCCTATCTAAGTGCCAAGGCGAGTGGAGGGGTAAGCTGCGTTCTGGGAATGCTCCCAGCTTTGAGTTGAGGGAATGCGGGGAAGCTGCAAAGTGTCGTCTCCTGTCTGAGTACCTCTGAAAGACCTTTCCAGTAATAATATTCCTCTGCATTTGATATAGCAACTTTAACATTTTAAAAGAAAGGGTAAAGTGCGCCACAGGGAGTCAGTCGCTGGTCAGCCGAGTGACTTTTATTTGCAGACCAAGTTCAAATCCAGCAGGTACCAAGACATCAGGTTCAAAAGCAAAATGCATCGGGGCCATCTTTTCCAATATTAAATGTGTCATTGTTCATCCTTTGTTCACAAAGATGGAACGTTTCATGGGAAAAAGAGAGGCCTATTCAGCCTGCTCTGACAGTTAATTGCATCATGTTAGATCTTTTAGTCCTATTTCCCCTTCTTTTTCCCAAACCCCTAATACACATTGGAACATAGGAATGTAGTTAACCAAGCTGATTAATGTTGGACCGTGCTGATCATATACCCAAATGATCTCTGAAGAGAAAGTCACGTCACCAACCTTGTGAAATTCAGAAGGTATTATGATTTATCTGAATCCCTTTTGATTTTTCTGCACCTATTGACTACTTAATTTTTTTGTACCTCTATGTGGAGTCCTGTAGCTCAGTGGTTAGAGCACTCACTTTGCAAGCGATAGATCTGGGTTTGATTCCCAGCAGGGTGAAACCTTAGGCAACTTTCCTTATTCCACACACCTGATAATAATAATAATCCTTGCATTTGATATAGCGCTTTTCACATCGGGAGGACGTCCCAAAGCGCTTCACAGAACACACTGTAAAGTGAATTGACTGTATATTTGTGGGCGAACGCGGCAGCCAATTGCGCATAGCAATGTCCCACAAACAGTCGCAGATTGAAAATGACCAATTTATTATTGTTTTTGGTTTTGGAGGGATTATTATCAAAATAATCCATCAAAAAAAAACACAATGATAAACTGGTCATTTCAATCCACGACTGTTTGTGGATCACTGCTGTGCGCAATTGGCTGCCGCATTTCGCCCAAAAATATACAGTCAGTTCGCTTTACAGTCTATTCTGTGAAGAGCTTTGAGATGTCTAGAAGACGTGAAAAGCGCTATATCAAATGAAAGGATTATTATCATACTATATTATTGAAAATTGGAGGAGAGCAATAATTCAAAACACATTTTAATGACGTTCTTTAAATAAGGAATGGAATATGTTTAAGGATACTGCAGTTTTAATTCCTTTATAATCTTTATAATGATTATCTAGTCTTTTTGCAACCTCCACTGCATACCTTGAATACCCTCTGTTCCTGAAACTCATGAACACAGCAAAATAAGTAATAACCCAGAAATTATTCATGTCTTGTCCTGAAATTACTCTTTGCAACCCTATTCTGCTGTCCTGGTTCATCAGAAAGTATCGTTCTGGATTTATTTTCTCAATCCCATTTAAAAGCTTACATCTCTCTATTAGATCCCCTGAGATGTATCTTTTTCAGTATCCTAGGATGTGTTATGTGATATGTACTATCTCCTCAATTTTTTTTAGTCTTGGTAAAAAAGATATACAATATCATGCCTCTATACTTGCCTTTACCACCCCTCCCACACACGCACACTCTTGCACAATAATCTCAGCTAATGTAATAACACTAATTTGAGATTGTTACAAAAGTCTAGCAGCAGAAAGTTATTGCAATAACTCAATATCAAAAGGCAGTAGCCTCTCAATTTCAAGTCAGAAACCTTTGACGACACAGCCCATTACTTTTACTCTGGCAAGTGATTGAATAAATGTCTGATTTCTGTCATGGTTTCACATCTGTCTGCCTGCAGAGATTTTCCATCTCCCTCCTGATTTCCCATCTCCCTCCATAATCCCTCATCGATGCCCATTAACCCCTTAGAGTCATCATCGTGTTTCTGTGTTGAACTAATCATGTATTAGAGTAAACCTTGAAGGATATTGAAGCTGACATTAGTGATAAGGCAAGTGGAGCAAAAGTAAAAGGGGCTTTTTAAAAACAATTGGAAAGCAGTGCCCTTGTTAGTTAGTTAGTGGCTGATTTACATCAATTTAACTTTCGACTCTAACATGGGACAATAAAAGGGGCATAGGAACGGAAGGCTTGGGCACTGATGGTGGCGTGGGCTCCTTAAAGTCTGTGATTCAATAAACAAACGCGACATATGATGTATATTTTATATAACAGTGAGACTTTTTTGTTATTCTGCATGCATTGCATTCCGCACGATCCTATAATTCTTTCACAGAGCTGTATTGAATATTATTGTTTTACAGAGTGGGCATTTGTTGGTCTGGTGGGCTCGGGCACTTTACTTCTCCTTATCCTGTTTGGTATTTGTTGGTGCCAGTGCTGCCCTCATACCTGCTGTTGCTACGTCCGCTGCCCTTGCTGTCCAGAGTCCTGCTGCTGCCCTCGAGCCTGTGAGTATGTCATTCCCACACTCCAGCTGATAGAGGGATTTACGTTATCTCCTTTACAGTTAACACAGATCGCAAATCCTTTGTTAAGCGCTGAGGGAGTTTCTGGGATCCTATGCTGCTAACAGATCACATTTGTGAGCATTTGACAGCTTCTCTGTGCAAAAATATGTGTACAAAGACCACTGAAAGATCATAAAAGTCAATGATGACAAAAATTTGTATGTGGCCACGGAAATGGTTCACTACTGGTTTTGTGTGACAGTCATCTTTGGCTGTTGAGCGGCAAAGGATTCGGACACCCTACAAGCAATAGATGTTCATTCATGTGCCTGCCATTTTTGTGTAGATTTACATAGGATGTACAGCATGGATACAGGGCATTCAGCCCAACCAGTCTATGCCAGGATTTATACTCCACACGATTCTCCACTCATTCCTACTCCCTCCCATATTCTTCTGTTACTTTCTACCTCATGTGTACATCCAGCCTCCTTTTGGTAATAATATAATGATGTTTAGTAATAATGTGGGTTTCCTCGCTCTGGAAATAAAAAGTCAATACAATTCAAACCAACATTGTTTCTGTAAAGTAAAAGACAAATATGTAACATTATCCTTCTTTCTCTTCCCCAGTGTACGAGGCTGGGAAGGCAATAAAAGCTGGGCACAATATAGCAGCCTACCAGCCATATTGCATTCCCAGTGTTTCAAGGGTACCAATTCCAATTACATCAACTGTAATGGATACAAATGCCCCACCACCCACTCAGCTTGTGGAGAACGATGTTGGGGGATCTGGTAAGAAAACAACCTTTTGTTCAAACCAAAGGTCAGTTCGATCTTGTAATATTATAGGAGCAACCTCATGATAGAAGGATGACACTTGTGACTCTAGATCTAAACACTAAGTCTCACACTGATTCAAATGATCAAAGTTCAGGTAATGTACGTCCAATCAGCAGTTACTACCCATCTCTCTAACACACTGAAAGCCGCCTGAGCTGAGGTACTCAGCTGTTGAGTACCTTATACAGTTCAAGATACAGTTCAAGATCCTGATACAGTTTAAGATCCTGGTCCTCATCTTCAAAGCCCCCCCCCCACAGCCTTGCTCCTCCCTACCTCTGTGACTCCTAACCCCATACCAACCTGTCCGCTGCCTCCGCTCAGTGGGCTCCGGCCTGCTTCACGTCCCCCGCCTTGCCCGCCCCACCATTGGCGGGCGAGCCTTCAGCCACTCTGCCCCCAAACTATGGAACTCCATCCCACAGGCACTCCACCTCGCCCCCTCCCTTGCTTCCTTCAAGACCTATCTCAAGAACCTCCTCTTCAACCATGCCTTTGGACCCCTTCCTACCCTTAACCTCCCCACCCTCTACCTCCTGATCCCAACCACCAGCTCGGGTGTGGATCCCTGACTGTCCAGCTTTTTGGGACGTCCTCCTGACGCGAAAGGTGCTATACATAACAAATGTAATTTGTTGTTGTTGTTAGGCTGGTACAAATGTACAGACCTAAGATACTTCAACTGTGCTGAGGAATGGATATTGTTCAAATCAAATAGCGTAGATTCATTGCCACTTTGCTTCTTACACTGGAGGCTGCTGATGAGCTTGTATTATAAAATCAGATTTCAATAAGTCCCCTTTTTTCTTCTTTCACAGTACGAAGCGGATACCGGATTCAAGCCAACAAAGAGCAAGATTCCATGAAGGTTCTTTACTATGTGGAGAAGGAGCTGGCAGAGTTTGACCCCTCTCGGAGAAAGTTTGAGAAATGTACGGAGCATAGGTATTGAGAGGAAACTGTGGGATGGGTTTCTTCTGCTGGCATTAGTGGAGCGAGTCTTGCTTTTGTCATACTTTCATGTGCTACACCACAGCTGGGTTGAGTTTCGATAGCCCTCACCCAGGCTCCTGGTTAAAGTGCCTGGAGATGTCCCTCAGTGAGAAGGAACTGATGCTACTGCACCATAAAATTCATCTGGCATTTACAACCTAAGATGTTTTAGGACATGAAAACGTAATTAGGCCCAACAAGTCCATCTCTTCTTAATATCTGCCAACAGCAATTACCTGTCAGCAACTAAGTCCTCTTCAACATTGCCTACCCATGGTCACCTCCTCTTTCTCCCTTGGTCGGCATCAACCTATGCCTTCAAAGTAAATAAAAAATAATTTGGTCAATCTACGACTGTTTGTGGGACACTGCTGTGCGCAATTGGCTGCTGCGTTTCACCCACGAAATATACAATCAATTCACTTTACAGTATGTTCTGTGAAGCGCTTTGAGACTTCTTGAAGATGTGATAAGGCGCAATATCAAATGCAAGATTATTATTATTAAGCACTCCGAGACGCTACCCTGCATGAAGGATGCTATATAAATGCAAGTTGTCCTTCTTAACATCTCTATCAATTCCTTCTCCATCTCGAAACATGTCTAGTTGTCTCTCATACTCAGTCATACTGTCTACTGGCGTGACATTGAAGGATGCTTTGAAGCTATTTCACCTTGTTCAGAGGCTGGAGGAGACGTGGTGCTTTGTTTTTTTTCCCCTCTACTCAGAAAGCTTTTAAGAACTCACTTCACTGCTTGTGGAATACAGCTTTAAAGAAACTGTGTAAAGCATACAATTTTTTTTTAGTAACTGAATAACTGAAGAAGAATATTACTCTGGGTGAAACATGTTCACTGTAAAGAGCTTGTAACCTTACATAAGCATTGTCAGGTTTGTGAGACGTCCAATTCCACAGATGGCATGTTAGCTGGTACAGATGTGATCCCTGCAGCAATGCTCACAAAACATTTTGGGAGGTCCTTGTGTTTGGTAGTGTACCAAATGCAAGGATCATTATTATTTTCATTTGTTGCAGGGCTATTTTTAATTTTTTTTAAAAAAGTTGTAAATGTTAGTGCAGGTGATGCTGGTGCCACAATGGTGTTGTAAAACCCTTTACTCTTGCCAATCTGCGTTTAATACTTTCCAGAATTAGGTAAGCAGTATGCGTCCCTCCAGGGAGAGAGTGCGCATTCCATTCCAACAATTTAACTCTGGGATTTCCATGTGTAGGTGGGATGCATGGAGGTGGGTTTGGATACTCTTAAACATGGTGATGGGTTTCTGTGTGTGTCAGACACCCAGCTGACCAAAGAAACAATTGGAAAACCTGATGGAGCTTTTGTTGCACAAGAGGGATGCGCCTGTTTAAGTTCCACGCTGCTTCTACTTTCAGTCTAGCTCCTAGCAGTGAGGAATGGCCCAGTATTGTTCAGCTGCATCACAAAACAGCACGCCGGCATTTTGATAGAGAGGATGCTGCCACAACAGAGCTAACAACAGAGCTCAACATAATTTCCCCTTTATGCAATGCTGGTCAGATGCGGTTTTGATTTTGACAAAGAGCAGCTGCTCCAAGGCTTCTGGTCTACGTTTGTGGTGTTAAATGTTCAGGAGAGAATCGAAAGTAGTGACTTAAAAACTTTTTGTCCTAAACCCAGCCAGCACTATCTCCGAGCTGAGCTCGCTGCATGAGCAGGACACTGATTTAAGGCAAGTGTTGCGTCAGGCACGAAAGCCAGCCCTGCCCACCATCTGCGACCAAGAGGAGTCTGGAATCAGAGCTGAGCTGGCACGAAGGTCTGGACGTTTCAGTGGCAGAGAAAAGAGAGACGATGATCGCCACAGCCACAGGTGCAGTATAAAAAACAGTCAAAGAATAGATCCACCTTCAACGAGTGATACTAACACAATGTCTGGCGAGTGAAGCTCGGCCTGTTTAAAGTTAAAGCAGCAAGTGATCTGGAGCAGAGTAAGTTGCAAACTCGAACTGTTTTGGCTCACACGCCAAGAGGGGTGACAGCCGCACTCCGAGAAGGCGGGGGGGCAGAACCCACAGGAAGGAGGGGGAAGGTTTGAATTAAATTGCATCAATGATTGAATCTGTTTGTAATAAGGCTGGAGGAATTGTTGGCAAATTATTGGCATATTCAATAGGAAAAATGAGTTGACTGCGGTTGCAGCTTCTGTCAAATATGATCGAGAAAAATACAAGCTTTTTTTTAATAACAGCAGTGGATATGTTCAGAAAATGTACTATGACCCTGCTTATGGTTTGGAAACTTATACGATGGAGGGGAATGTTTGTATAATCTCTCAAATCATATGTGGGGGGGGGGTCATAATACATGTTACATTTCTTGTGTTCGTTTTACAGATGTCTTTTAACCATTTTTTGTAGAGCAGGGATTAGGACAATGAAACGGCACCAAACGATTTGGGATGTTACATTTCTACTCAAGTAGCTTAAACACACACACACACAGCAGAAACCTGCATTAGTTCTGCAGAATCCTTTTGAATGGCCCTGGATAAACCTTACATTATTTCTCTGTAGGTCGAGGTCTCGATCTTGTGAAAGGCAAAAGATGGAATTTCATGACAAGGGACAATCAAGGTCGATGAACGAGCTGGAGGATTTTGCTGAATCATATCATTGCAGGGGGAGGAGGGGTAACTCCCAAGAGCCAAATTGGGAGAGAAAGGATGCGGATAGAGGAGAATATTACAGAGCGCTCAGAGATCGGTATCATGGTCAGGACTGCTCTTCGGATGACTATTACAACAAAAGAAGTCGAAGCAGGAGTGATGTGTACGATGGTGACAAAGGACATGCTTATAATAATAGGAGAGAGAGGCGGGAGGAATATCCACTGAGATACACGCATGACGGTGACGGAGCCTATGACGATGCATTCATCAATAGTATTCTGGAGAGAAAAGCCAATTGCAGGTCTTACGATGAGAGCTACTGCAATGAAATACCTTCCCAAAGTAGCAGCAGGCGAGGTAATGACTATTACTATGAGAAACCTTCAAGCTATAGGGCAGAAGAGGAAGAGATTTTGCCTCCATACAGTGAAATGCAGCTGCAGAGAGCCAGACCAGAGAATCTGGCAATAAGGCCCTACTATCAACAAAGAGAGAATGACAGAAAAGAACAAACAAGACAGAAGAAAATGGTGAGTTTGGTTACTTTTCTAGGCCAAAGAAAAATTGCAGTCCTTCTCAGTGTCATCCCTTGGCCAAGACATTAAACCGAGGTCCTGTCTGCCCATTCAGATCCCAATTTGAAAAGAGAAGGGAGTTTCACCCTGTGTCTTGACCAACAAATCAGTCAAATAAAATTAGTCATGCATGTCATTGCTGCATGCAAATTGACTGCTACAATCATCTACGAATGCAGCCACTACACATTAGAGAAACTATGTTGAGATGCTTTGAGATGTTAATAGATGCCACCTCATGCAATGATTATTATTAATATGCTATTACAAGTAAATTTGAAAAATATTGAAATACATCTAACTGATAGAATTGATATGCCCTAGGACGTTGCTGTGTTTCAGTTAAATTCTGAGCAATGTCAACCGCTACAACACAGCCAAATATGAAATGAGAAGGTGGAAAATGTGAGCCGTTAACCATCACGGGTGATAATTAAAATGATCACTTTTAAAATAATTAAAATTATCACGTGATTGCTAATTAAAATTGTCACTTGATAATCATTGAAATACGTTGAGCCATCGATTAATTGACAAAATCAACAACAACAACTTACATTTATAGAGCACCTTTCACACACAATTGACTCCCATTATGATAGCTGCACCCAAAGTCAGCCACTAGCCTCATTGGCATTCAGAGGGCAGATTTGCCGTGGTGGTTGCCAGCTTAAGTCACTTTGTCGAAGCTTAAGTCACTATGTCAAGCAAGTCATTTGTAAATAATGCACTTCACTGCACTGCATGAGAAAGATTCAGTTATGCAGCTTTATCACTTTTCAACATGGGAACCATAAGCATTACAGATATTTAAACGTAAAAGAAGGCTGGATCTTTGGAAGACCAATCCATGTAGACCCATTCTCCTGCTTTTTCCTCACGCCCTTTTATATTTCTACTTTTCAGACATTTATCTAATTTTCTTTTAAACATGAGTGAATGTGTAAGACCACAGCATATTTTCCTTGCAGTGTAATAGTGTATTGAACAATTGCAGGAAGAAATGTCAAAACAATGGGATTAAAATACTGCAGTGAATAGACTTGGGGAATATATTGTTAAGCATCTTGTTACAATGGCCTGACTATTGTGCTTTTGCCTTACAGAATCAGTTCCCCGCCAGAGATGCATTGGTGGTGTAAAGTCCCTGAAAAGAATTGTGGAAGGCTTCTATTTCCAAGGTTGTACTCTGTGAGAAAAGGAAACGCCATGGATTTCAAACCCCAGGGAATATGATGGGTTTCAATGCAGGGTCGCTACATGAATGAGGAAATGGTTTACAAAGTAATGGGAGCTGGCTGCTGCAGTACAAGTCCTCTAGTGTTACAGCCGATTGGTTTACATGTATATTATTCAGTATTAACATGGCAGCTTTGAAACCTGCCATAACCAGCATTATGGTTGGTGCTTACCTCCCAATATTGTGGAAAACCTTTTATGTACCTGTTTATTGTTCCTCACAGTGGAGTGTGCTTATCTTACCCCATTTGTGCCACAAACCATTTATCATCATAAAGTGTTAACACACCATGCCATGACTTATTCCCTCGTATATGTTTCAGTCTATTTACGACTCCTATAGGTTACTGCATCTCACCTAAATTTAAATATGGGTGGCCAGTGCCATTTTGAGGAGTCCTCAGAAGCCAATAAATAAATAAAAAAAAGCTTAAATGCTTCTTGTCACAAAAATCACAGGATTAGTTTGAATTAAGAAGGTCATTAGGCTCATTTGATCTCATCCTTCCAGCATACCCACAGTCCCATCACAGATGAAGCATTTTCTTAAATGAGCCCAGGTCCTGGCCTCAACGACCCTTCCCAGCAACCTGTTCCAATTGTTAGTTATCCTCTAGGTAAGAAAACATGATACTTGGTGTCTGTCTTGAAACTGTGCCCTCTGGTTCTGCTCCCATAGTGGTATCTGAAAGCATTATTCTTGGTTTGCTTTCTTAATCCCATTTAGATTTGTATCTACCTCTGTAAGGTTCCCTCTCCTAGAGTAATCTCTCCCAGTCCAATTAACCAAACTCCATATATTCTCCAGACACACATACAACCTGAACTCTTACTGGATTTTTTAGTTCAGGGTAACCCATTCAGAATCCTTTAGAATCTCTCCCAGATATCATCTAGAACAAAATAATAATCCCCCTCCTGACAAACTATGGCTCCTTGGGTAAGTTTTCCATTTCTGCTCTCTCCCTCCTTCCTACAGGCCATAACATGGTGAAATATCTCCTGGCCTATATCTAAATATCAGCACCAGTTAATTCCTTTGTACAATGCAGGTGAAAATCACCTTATATATTCTTGCTTTCCATCATCGCTAACTACTCGCAGTTTTTTTTCAGCAACATTTCCTCAAATCAAACATCTTATGAGGTCCACCTATAATGACTGGTCTATTGATGTACAATCAATATTGGTAATTATTAAGATTTTTTTGTATATACTGCAGTAATTTATAGTTTACGTTCCATCCTAAATACGGTTGACAAACTGGGCATGGAAAAGTAATCACGCTCCACTGTGTAACATAAAAGCTGGACGTCGTCAAGTGACAATCTATGAGTAAGAAAACAAAAAGAAAATTGAGCGAACAATGCAAAGCCATTGGGTGGCTCCTTCATCTGTTCATCTTTGCCAACAGCAGTGACAACCCAGTGTTAGTTTTGCCTACTGTTACGGGTCATGTTAAAAACAATTGATGGATCTTGACTTTCCTGCTGTTGGCAATTGGGAGCACTGCCAAATCAGCATTACTTTCAGACATATAATCTATTGTATTTTCTGAATGGGCCATGGAAGAGCCCTATCAAGAGGGAACAGGTAAAGTATAAGGATGTGAGATCATAACTCATATTGTACCTCTACCCTTATTTCCCCTGTATTATGGGTTGTGATAGTGGGACACGAAAATAAGAGCAGTTCGATCTGGACTTTTCCCCTGTGCTCCTCTTATCATTATACACACCGCATTACTAGCACCACACATCAGGTTTGCCATATCTTATTGTTCTTTGAAATGTTGATACTTTAAGGAGCCAAATTGATAGATCATAGAAAAGCAGAATTTGTCTGAACTGGTTTAAAAAAATTGCCAGCTATAAATATTTTAAATACTCTCTGGGACGTTGCATGTATTAATATCAATCAATATTGGAAAACAAAGCACTGCTGCCTGTACAATCTTTATAAGATAACATGCCTGTGGGTCAAATGCTTCACCATGTATTTGATGTAAGTTTATTTTTTATTTGTGGTAAAATAATCTCCAGATAGGATTCATTAAGAATGTGCTTGCAGCCGAAAACATTATTTCATATTTTGTTTAGCATCAGTGAAGGCATCTAATACTAACAGTACATTAGTGTACAAAACAATGCCAAAAGTGCCGTTTTCATTACTGACACATAATAGGTTAATTCCTCCCTACTTGAGAAGGCTCTGTAATTACCAGTATTAAAAAAATGGTCCATTTTGGGTACATTATTAAAACATGCCACAAATTAATGTACAGTATAAAACACTTCTGACATCTATTTGTATATTTTACAATACAGCACTGAAATTGTGTCAGTAACTAGTCCACCACTGGTTAGTTCTGATAGTAGAAAATGTTAACTCAGACCCAATAATGCCTTGAAGTGGGGAACAACATGTTCCTTATCAATGCTACTGCAGTGCCTTTTGAGAACTGTACCCTATCACTAGCTTATCTCAAAGTAGGAATTCTTATAGTGGGTATATTCCCTGTTTTAATGTAACCTGTAGCATGCTGTATGTTATGTAGCAACAGGCAAAGGACAACAAATACAGTATTGTAACTTATCCATCACTTCAGCAATTTAACAACGTGCAAAGCTATTTTAACTCAGATTATAAAATAACTCCTCAAAGCCTCTGTCTAATTCCCACTTACAATAGAGCTAGAGAAAAAAATTGCCCTCACATCCCAGACTTATTGCCAATTGTAATTGTTTTGCTTGTAGACAAGGGAATTCCACTTGTAAATAGATGAAACAAGAGTGACAGTCAAAGGTGACAGTGAAAATACAAACTTTCTGAGGCTTTTGGCATAATTGTATTTTTGGGAGTGTTTATTTTAAAATGCGTCGTATGGCATTTTCACCACAGTCTTTCTCTAGAACTTACTGGTTGCAAAGATCGGAGTCCTGTAGCTCAGTGGTTAGAGCACTCGCTTTGCAAGCGAAAGACCTGAGTTCAATTCCAGGCAGAGGGCGAAACCTTGGGCAAGTTTCCTTACTCCACACAGAGCCTAATAATAATCCCTCCAAAACCAAAAACAATAATAAATTGGTCATTTTCAATCTACGACTGTTTGTGGGACATTGCTGTGCGCAATTGGCTGCCGCGTTTGCCCACAAATATACAATCAATTCACTTTCCAGTATATTCTGTGAAGCGCTTTGGGCCGTCTAGAAGACGTGAAAAGCGCTATATCAAATGCAAGGATTATTATTATTACATTGAAATTTGCAATTATTGTCATTGTTTGTTATTCTATTATTCTGATTCTCGTGGTTACAAGTCTCAGGCTGTCCTGAGTGGTCATGTCTACGGCAAGGTGAGGAAATGGCTCTAGAGATTAAATCATTTTGTTATTTATTTTCCTATCCTGACAGAAGAGTTGTTAATTCTCTTGTAATCTGAACCGGAAAAGAGTGAGTAGCCTGGTGCTATAATACATACAAGACAATTATTGAATGATGTTCATCCAGATTCCTCATAGAGTACCAGTACATTTTGGCTGGTGGATATTATGCTTGTATACGCTTTTGTGTATTCGATTTTTTTTTGAACCATGCTGTGTAAATGTTCAAAAAATATCTTCTTTTTCATAGACAGTAAACTGTGAAATTGTATTAAAAAATATTAAATTGTCATTATTGCTGAAAATATTTAACTAGGTACCCAATGAGACTGAGTGTCCTATTTATAATAATAATAATCCTTGCATTTGATATAGCGCCTTATCATATCTTTGAGATGAAAAATAATGGGAATATTCAGAAGGGGCTCCCTTTGAGCAATATTGATACCAGACGTGCTTTCATTCTTTACAAGTAGCAACATAGGATCGTTATCAGGCACCAATACAGGTACCTGAGATCTGGTTTGAAATCTCATCCAAAGTTGGTTCTTCTAAATTCCTGACTGCATCATGCTTTTATTGTTAGATATGAACCAAGTACCAAATGTGCATCTCTTAAACTTGCAGCCTTCCGACTCAGAACAGCAGTACCACTGAGCCAGCAGCTACCACCTAGCAACGCACAGTCAGTTGTCAATTACGCTTAAAAGCAATTTAAATTTTCCGACTGGGTCTTAAAATTAGTACAGTAAGACAATACAGCTTAAATCTCACCAGTGGAAATTATGTGCTAAAACATCCTAGTAAACATTTCACTCCTCTCCCCAACTCTTTCCTCTCCCCCAAATTTAAATAATCATGTTCAACACCTTGCTGGAAAATCAGACCTAGCCTTCTGTGTTCACTAAGTAAGTATACGGTTGCATTTGATACTCCACCTTTGAAGAATAGTATTCTGAAGTGGTAGTTGGTGATTAATTGCATACAGCAAGGGGGCAAAAGGGCACTCGGACTCCCACAAGGAAAGATCACTGGATCCAAAATATATGCAATCAGAAGTCGAAACTGTCTGTTTAGGTGGATGTTAAAAATTCCATGGTACTATTAGAGAAGGGAGTTTCTCCTGGTGTCCTGGCCAACAGTCCGACAGATAAAATCATTCACTTTATGGTTGTTTGTGGGACGTTCCTGTGTGCGAATTGTCTGCTGGATTTTGCCTACCAATTTTTTTTTGGTCAGCTGGGTGCCCCTCAAATGTGGTAACCCTTCACCATGCTTAAGAGTATCCAAACCGAGCTGAGATTTCCGTGCGTTCCACCAACACGTGAAATCCCAGAAATAGATAGTTGGAACGGAAAGTGCATTCTCTCCTGCTTACCAAAATTCTGGAAAGTATTAGGCGCAGGTTGGCAAGAGCAAAGGCTTCGGGACCATAGAGTGTGTGTTGGGGCACTGCTGGAGTCCAACCAGCTAAAACTGCATAGCTTGCCATTGATATTGCTGTCCAGCAAGCTTTCTGCTGCTTGTCCAGCTAGGACCACCGTACCCGTTAGGGCTTTGGCTTGCAGGGTTAACAGGAGCTGAGTGGGCTGAATCCCTGTCCCCAGTCTTCCAGGTCTTGCCAATGAGCTGGACTCGGTGTGCTGTGCCCTGGAATACTGTCGACCCGCCTGGCTCAGGAACCGGACTACTGAGGCCGCCACAGAGGGCTGGCTCGATTCCGACATTCAGTTGCCAGACAAGTAACCTTGGAGCCAGTTCAGCTCCAAGGAGACCTCCAAAATCAGTCGTTATGGTTTATGAGTAAATCCTGAGAAACCAATGGTTGGCACCTCCAACAATGCAGCATACTCCCAACACTGCTTGAATACACAACCCTCCCAATCAGCCGAGCCTGCCACCAACTCAGCCAAGCTAACATAACAGGTTCTTTCTCTTCGGGAGAAAAATGTAATATTGCAAGCATCAGTTTATGATCTCTTGTTTTATTTTCTTATAACAGAGTTCATGGTGGACTCAGGTGAAGACAACAACAACTTGTATTTATTTAGTGCCCCTCACAAGGGTAGCATCCCACAGCAACTACTGTAAATGTATTATTGGTTGTTCCTCATGGAATCAATCCACTCAACAACCAGATTAACAAGTACAGGGGATAGAACAACAACAGGAATTTGTACTTCTAATAGCACCTTTCATGTAGGGATAACAACAATAACAACAACAACCAGATTTCATTTATAGAGCGCCTTTCACGTCGGGAGGACGTCCCAAGGAGCTGGACAGTTGGGTCAGGACCCGAGCAGGGGGGAAATGGTCAGGGTGAGGGGAGGGAAGGGAGGGAGGGAGCGAGGAGGGAGTAGAGAGTCGAGAGGGGAGCTGAAGGCATGGTCGAAGAGAAAGGTCTTGAGACCGGTCTTGAAGGATGAAAGGGAGGAAGCAAGGCAAAGGCACTGGGGGATGGAGTTCCAGAGCCTAGGGGCTGAGAGGCTGAAGGCCCGGCCACCAATGGTAGGGCGGTTAGGGAGGGGGATGTGGAGCAGACCAGAGCCAGAGGAACGGAGGGTACGGGCAGGTACGTAGGGAGATAGTAGGTCGGAGAGGTAGGAGGGAGCAAAGCCGTGAATGGCCTTGTAGGTGAGAATGAGGATCTTGAATTCAATCCTCTGGGGGATGGGGAGCCAGTGGAGGCGAGAGAGGGTGGGAGTGATGTAGTTGTGAAGCCTGGTGCGGGACAGTACACGAGCTGCAGAGTTCTGAATGACCTGCAGCTTGTGGAGGGAGGTGCATTTACATTTGTATAGCGCCTTTCACGTCGGGATAACATCTCAATGCGCTTGACAAAGGCGGAGTGGCAGTTCGATCAGGGACGGTATTGGACCTGGGTGTACTGGGTGGGGAGGTGGGGGGCGCGGAGACGGGGTGACCAGAGGCAGAGGGAAAATGTCCACTGAATAAAAACAGATTTGGGATTATTTGGGACACAGTGTAAACCAACAGCCGCAGTCACAAGATGAAAATACAACTACCTTAAAAACGCAATATCCTCAGTGAGTGATACAAAAGCCACTGTCAAACATTGTCCATTTCATCCCAATTAAATGAGGTCAAATCTCAAATGTACGGTACAGTGCCTTCAAAACGTTCAAGCTGGCACCCAGACATTGCAGCAACTATATATACGGTATAATGGAGTCATTATCCTTTGACGCAGCGGGAAGGGTGGAGGTGACTATAAGCACAGTCGAAGAGGAAGGCAAAACTGAGTTTGATCAAAATCTAATTGCAACCTATCAAAACCCTGTGTGTTGCTCTCCTCCAAATTTTGGAGAAGTTAATGATTATCCTAGACTCATGAAGCTTACAATGATGTAAAGCTTGCCTCTCAGTCCCCACTGGTGGTGTTGCCTTAGTAACAGCACTTGCAGAGTTTCCAGTTCATCCAAATAATTCTTCATCCTACCTGCCTCCCAATCTGTGAGCTTCTGGTTGTATTTTCACAAGTGACTGGCTCTGCAAAATACAAGGACAAAGCAGAGTAGTGAATTTGGCACACATAATTCCACTGAGTGAAAATAAAGTGTCTTCCCTGTGTTAATAGATCTCTTGTTTTCATTCTGAAAATCCCTACCAGCCTTTACCTTGCAAGGTTAAGGAGAGGGCTCCTCCCAGACTGTTCCCTGTGGAAACACCTGTCTGGCTTTCAGATGACAAAGGAACAGTCTCAGATTCATTGGATCTTCGACTTACATCACTATAAGTTTTCTCTTACCTCTAAAATAGGAGCAGTTCAGATAGTTCTGGTCTCTGTAGTTTATTTAATGTATGATCCCCAGATTGCTCTTTGTCATCTCTAACCACACACACACACATATATTTGCCCTTTGCTTTCCTGACTGGGGCAATCCTTAAGCATTGTAAGGAAGATGGTGAGATTTTTTTTAACAAAAAACAAATATCTGAAGCTGGAACAAGATATGCAGATTTTTTCCACGTTGATGCATTCGTCCTTCAGGTGACACTGGGAGGGGTGGGAAGTCCTCAGGATTTGCCAGACAAGGTGGATGGAGGTGNTTTTTTGTGTCACATGTTGCACCTGTTTGGCGAGTCAGGTTCAAGCTACAAACAAGAGAGAGACACACAGAGAGAGAGAGAGAGGAGACTTTTACTGTGAAACCATTGCATTGGGGCAGGACAGGACTTTGAACGAATCCAACCGGTTTGGGAGAGAAAACAGGAACAGCATTTCAAGCTTCTAACCAACAAACTCTTTGCTTTCAACAAACTGGAAGAAACTTCACCACCAACTTTACTGTGTGTGTGTGTGTTTGTTGGTTGGTTGGTTTCCTTTTATCTCAATTCATTTGAATTGTTGGGAGAACTTCCAACCCACTCCTGTTCCTGTGAGGACAAGGTGGGAGTTGGTTGGATGATTTCACTCTGATCAGAGGGAGAGTCTTGAACAAACACAAAGTCAAGAGACATTTTGGATTGGAAACCAGTCACCATGAACAAACTGCTCCTTTGCGCCATCCTTTCGACCACGTACACAGGTAAGAAACCATCAGCAGACGAACCCCACTGAAGGGGTTAATTAGAAAACATATACTATCAACTTTATAAAACTTGGTAAATGTGTGCGGAATTTATTTTGAGTGAGGAGGGCGCAAACTGGGGAAATGGCAACAGGTGTATTGGGAACCTGGTCCATTTTCAGCCCAACTCCCAATATCTGGTCAGGGAGGCGGTTTCCTGGCCTTTGATCCATTTCTAATAATAATAATTAATAATAGTGCGAAAGTGTACAGCAGATTTCCTGTTGGCGGTAAATTACATTTACTAAAGCAAATATTATTATTATTGATCCATTTCATTTGTATCGCCTGTAAACTCAGAATTTCCGATAATCTTAGTTAATGTGAATTGAACCATTGACCACCCACCCCACACCCCCCCCCCCCCCACACACACACACACACCCCACACACAAACACACCACCACACCTGTTCCAATCTTTGGGTGTGCGTTTAGATCCTTTTTACCTGGACATTGGGTCACAAAAAGACAATCAATTCACTTTACAGTATATTCTGTGAAGCGCTTTAGGACATCTAGAAGACATGAAAAGCGCTATATCAAATGCAAGGGTTTTTATTATTATCTCTCCACCTTACAAAAGTGGCTCAGGTTTCTGGGAGAAAGCCTGTTTGGCCACCCCACCCCCAAAGAAAATTAACTTGGAGGGGGAGAAGAATCCTTCGTTGTCTTTTTTATTGTTCCTATTAAACTCTTTAAACGTGTGGGCTTTTTCCACAATTTCTTCCAGTTATTTCCGCGTTGCTGTTTTTAAAACCGTGGTTGCTACTAAACTCTTTAAACGTGTGGGCTTTTTCCACAATTTCTTCCAGTTATTTCCGCGTTGCTGTTTTTAAAACCGTGGTTGCTACAAGCAGGAGACTTGCTCCCTAAGATATTGAACAGTTCCATCAGGGAGAGTGTTAAAGAGTAGCTTAGGGGTGTCTGTGTGTGTTCACATTGCTCCAGCACCTGCACCTTTTGAGCTGAGTGAATTGCATTAAATTGCACTCTCTGTAATTTAATGCGTCCATTTCATTTCTGCATTTTATTTACTTGTTGCAGATCTGTTCGGATTTTTAAAAAAAAATAATAACCATCCACTCAAGATGCGCGTGGAGAAGCATAAGCAAAGAGACTCGGCAGACTGTTGGGTTGCTTTGTTACCAAACCACTATGTGGATCCAGGCCTTTGAGCGAGCTGCCTATCCAAAAGATTGCCTTAAAAGATCCTCGTTTTATTAGGATTTTATGTCAGCGTAAAAAAATGAGTTGCCTGCACCCTACCACTTTGAAATACATTCCTCAGTGGGAGGGCAAATCATCCTGTTGTCAATCTACCTGCCTTAAGTGATACATGATGGAAAGTGATGCCATGCCTTGAGCACTGAAAACTTGGGAACCTACTGAACACACACAATTTCGCCCATTAGCCTGGTTTTAAGATCCATGACCATGTTACTTCTGTTGTACCTGTAATATATTGGTGCAACTGTATACGTATTGATTGTAGTTTGATTCCTGTTGGTTCCATAAGTTAATGACTCATAGGCATGCCTTCCTTGAAAAATATTTAGAGGAGGAGGGCAGGCAAAATAATAATAATCTTTGTATTTGGTAATGCATTATCACATAAACCATTTCAAAGCATTTCACAGAAAGACTGTGTTTAGGAACATAGGAACAGAAATAGGCCATTCAGCCCTTCGAGCCTGTTCCAACATTTTATTCCACATCAGGCTTGAGCTCACTGTTGATCTTTAGTTATAGGGGCAGTTTGCTTTAGTAAATGTAATTTACCGTCAACAGGAAATCTGCTGTACACTTTCACACTGAAGAATTGCTTTGGAAATAACAAATGATCAAAGACCCCCTGATCCAATTGAGCAAGATACATTATATATAAGTAAAGGTGGGAGCAGATCACGTCCTTGGTTAGTGGAGTATTGAGCCACAGATAAACTGGGACAGAAAACAACCACAAGATTTTATTTTATTAATAATAATCCTTGCATTTGATATAATGCCTCATCATGTAGTTGAGACTTGTTTTAATACTTTATTGATTTTAAGCTGAATAAAGTGTAGCAAGTGCTTTGAGACATTCTCCTGACGTGAAAGGCGCAATATAAATGTAAATTGTATTCTCTTGATACCCAACTTCCCTGCAGGTGAAACTGCTTAGATTATGATTAGAAATTTTGATTCATGTGAAGAATGAGGGTCATGGGTGCTCAAACATTTATGGATGTATACATTATACAGTGGAGTCCTGTAGCTCAGTGGTTAGAGCAGTCGCTTTGCAAACGAGAGACCTGGGTTCAATTTCCGGCAGGGCGAAACCTTGGGCAAGTTTCCTTACTCCACACGCCTAATAATAATCCCTCCAAAACAAAACAATAATAAATTGGTCATTTTCAATCCACGACTGTTTGTGGGACGCTGCTGTGCGCATTTGGCTGCCGCATTTCGCCCACAAATACAGTCAATTCACTTTACAGTATATTCTGTGAAGCGCTTTGAGACGTCTAGAAGATGTGAAAAGCGCTATATCAAATGCAAGGATTATTATTATAGGAGATGAGGTGATTAAACACACCTGCTAAATTGGGTTTAGTGGTCTCGGTTGCTGTCTCTGGATGGGGGTTGCAGGCCACAGTTTTAGTTCTGATGAAGCACTGTGTTTGAAAGAACAGTTTATTTTGTAAAATATTCATTACCTTGTGTGTTTTTCTGGCATTTCTTCACTTATTTGTCTTTGTCAAAAAAAAAAATTTAATAAAGAGGAAGAGGAGCAACAAAGGCTGAGTTTGTACAAACTAAGTGCATTCCAGTCAGACTTGGCACAGTAAATACATTGCTTAATCTGGCACTAAACCACACACCTGGAAACTCCATTATACTGAGGAATTATCTCTTTCCACCCACTAATCATTCAATTGAAATCTGCTGTGGTTATGATCAGTGTTACTGAGTTCATATTTTCTATGATTATCAACAATCACGAAAATATGATCTGTTTAACAATTGCAACTGCGAATGTCATTAATCCTGTCATCCTTCAGATAAGATGCAAAATAAGATGGAATGCAAAATGGCTCTTCCACTTGCCTACAAACATGTAAAATCAACCCTGATAGCCATAACCTGTGAAGTGCTTTAGGACACTTCAGTTATAGGAAGCATATCAAATGCGAGGATTATTTATTTACTTTGCTCTCTAATCTCGCACAAGAGCAGTTTCTAGGGTGAGTAACTGGAGGGCAATTGGTGACCGTGGAATCATATTCCAGACTTGTCATTTTCAAGAGAAAATAGTGTTGGAGATATTCTACCTTTAGGTATTGATAGAATACAGTGCAATTTGCATTTATGTTGCGCTTTTCATGCCAGGAGGACATCTCAAAGCATTTGATAAAGCTAGATGTGCACCTGAGCTGGAGTTGGTTGCCCAGGGGATGGGGAGGGGAAAATAAATTGTACATTCCTCTCAGAATTATTGTGCATTCCCAAATAGCTGAAGGTATAACAGGCCCAATAAACTACATTGCAGATTTTAGTTTTCTTAAAGCTGGATAGTTAATTCATAGAATTTGTGGGGGGTTTTAAAAAAAACAAGGTACAATAGAGAAAGGAATTACTTTTCAATTAGAATCTGGGTGTACGCTTCAGACAAAGGAAACCGTGTAGGGCATTTTCCAAACTCTCCCAACTGGTTTTACTTGAATGTTGTAGCCAGCAGAGGGAGGTGACTTTCATCCCGTGAAGCTTTGCTTCATTTGACTTCAAATCCCAGCGAGTCGGTATTTTAACCCATTTTAACCCATGTTCACCAAGATTTTTATATCCGCAACTGTACGTGGTTTAATTTTTTTTTAAAAAAACTGTGTGGCCTGTTGAAAGCATTGACCTGACATAAGCAATGTGGCTCATGCGGAAGTGTTTTTTTTTTGTGTGGGGGTTATTTCTAAATCCTTTTTAAGTGTCAGAATTCCTGCCTGTAATGTGTTTTGTTTTCTTGTTTGTCTGCAGTGTAAGTTTCAGCATAACATACGTAGCAGTGTTGTGAGCTGCATTCTCTTGATGTACGTTGAATCCCATGACCTTATTTGCATTTGGGGTGAATCTGGTTTGAGTTATGGAATGGGACCTGTTCAGGTGACCCAGTTTCCACAAGGGATTTCAAATGCAAACAAAGGCTGTGGTATCAATAAGAGCTGATGTAATGCTTGTTGGCTGCCCCAGAGAGGGAATTGGATACAGCAATCGCACTGCAGCTATAACAACAACAAGATTACATTTGTATAGTGCCTTTCGCGTCAGGAGGACGTCCCAAGCTACAACACCACAATACAATAGATGAAAATAAACAAGTCTTATCATTTATTTTAAAGGATTGAAACCGAACTTCAGAAGATATAGTTGGATGCTGGTCTGCTTGTTAATAAAATTCTGGTCCAATGTAACATTGAACAGAACTACAAGAACTATTAAGTTAATGCTTCTCGTAGAATCATAGAATTATACAGCACAAAAGGAGGCCATTCAGCCTATTGTGTCTGTGCCGGCTCTTTGAAGAGCTATCCAAATCAATCCCACTCCCCTGCTCTCTTTCCATAGTCTTGTAAACTTGTCCTTCTGTGATTGCAAATCTCTTGGAGCCTGCCTCTTCTGGGCAATATGTACTATCATTCTTTTGAAAGCAAACTCCTAGTCAAATGTGGGAGTAGTGGGTATAATCCTTTGGATGAGACGTTAAAGCCGAGGCAACGTCTGCCTGTTCAGGTGAACGTTAATGATCTTGTGGCACTATTCGAAAAGAGAAGGGAGTTTCTCTCTTCCGGTGTCTTGGCCAAAAATCTCCCAAATTACTCACTCCATGGCTGTTTGTGGGACATTGCTGTGAGCAACTGGCTGCAGTGTTTCTCCGCCAAAAACACAGTCACTGCACCTTTACAGTATATCCTGTATAGACGTCTCAACAACAACATAAGGCACTGTATCAAGTGCAAGGATTATTATTATAATGGAAGATGCCTATAGACGTCTCAATAACAACATAAGGCACTGTATCAAGTGCAAGGATTATTATTATAATGGAAGATGCCTGACTCGACCAAATGTTCTCAAATGCAACCATCTGCGAGTCTTTGAGAACAGCTGGTCTAGACAAATATAAACTGGAATATAGAGCGTGAAGGATGCACACCACAGTGGCCATTATTTGGTATCAACATAATAATGCAAATCATTCTGTATCCTATTGGTACAAATCTTCCTGTATATTATACTGTTCTGCTTGGTGTCCCACATGTGTTTACTGGAATAACTCAAAGTTCGCCTGCCAAATGCGCAGTCACTGCTCGCTGCAGTAAATCCTGTGAAGCACTTTGAGATTGTCCTCACCGAAGTGAAAGGCACTATATCAAAAGCAAGGATTGTTGTTGTTATAAGAATAGCTCTGAAGTGACACAGGGATGTTCATTTGAATTGTATTTTGTTTAGACTTGATGGGAAGGGCCAGAGTGGTGCTACATTGTCGAACCACCTTGGTTTCTTGTTGTGCGGGTTTCTGGGCTCTTAAATGGTGTAAATGTTGCAGATGTCGGACCTGTATTCAAACCCAAGCAATACCCGAGAACTTTATTGAACTGTTGTGTTCATGCAGCTTAGTTAAAGTCTGCATAGCTAATGGATAACGCATTAAAGTGAAAGAAATTGGCCAGCAGCCAAGACCAGCTATTGTGCAATTAGAAACTGCCAAATCATAGCCAGTCCAGTATCACTTGAACTGGTGGTTTCTATTAACCCTTTAAGGACAAACGGCCATTTCTGAAAATACAGTTGACTTTTTCTTTAAACTGCCGAAAGGCTTTAATGAAGCAAGCTATCATTGTCGAAGGTAGTTTAGCAAAATGTGGCACTGGCGATTTCTGAGCCTGTACATTGCAAAAGGAAGGGAAGATTGAGGAAGGCAAAGCATACAACAACAATAACTTGCATTTATGTGGCGTTCCCCGTGTGGGATTGCGTCCCAGAATCTTGCTATCCTGGGAAGGAATGAGTTATGATACTGAGAGGTATCCTGTTCTCAATGCGGTGAAGGGAGAGTGTGGGATGAATTTAAGACACTGGAGGAATAAGAAAGGAAATGTTGGGAGTGGTGTTACCTGTTGAAAAGATAGAGACAGAGAAGATAGAACTCAGGGCAGGAAGGAGTACCTATCAGACAAAATGGAGTACAAGAGAGATGTGAGGAGAACATCTCAGATATTGGAGACTCAGAATAAAACTTGTATAACTCAGGGTAAAACCTGAATTCAGGAAAAAACTTAAAAAATGTAGCCTGCATAATCTTAACTCTTAAGATAATGTTCTTGAAGTTAAAACCATGAGCAATTCTGGGCTGCTGGAGTGGCACTCAGTTGCTTTTATAAAGCAGGCTGGCCAGAAGGCTGCAAATTCTGTGAGAAATCAAAGGACCACGGAGTGTTGATTAATTCAAAACATATTCTACAAATTGCTTTCAATGAATCCCCTACAAAATACACAGTCGCTACAATTTAGAATATATCCTGTGTGGCGGTTTGAAAAATTTTCACGATGTGAAAGGTGCTATACTGTATCAAATACAAGATTTGTTTGTTTATTTAGAAATTTATTTGTTTATTTAGAGAGTTAGAGATTTAATGTTGAATATCTCACTAAGCTCTTGTTGACCTATTGTAACTTTCTTTTGCAGCGTGCCTCGGTTTGTTGGTGAGAGTCCAGGATACCCGGCGTTACACTATGCTGTTTGCTTCCATTCTCGTCAAATGTGAATATTCAACTGCATCCCAGGCTCAGGATGTCCTCGTTACCTGGCGCTACAAGTCATTTTGCAAAGATCCCATAATGGATTATTATTCATCCTGTACGTATTAACATTGTGCTTTTACAAGATCTAATTTCCCACCTATTTTAAATGCAGAATGTTTGGGAATAATTCAGATCGTCACCCATGTGTACTCAATGCCTTGGTGGGTAAATGTGTTCTGTATGGTTTAGCACACGGAAAGATTCTCGAATTCAGCCTCTGATCTGTGCTGAGATATCTGTTCTTGGAGAATCTATTCACCCGGGTTAGGGAAAGGAAATATCAGCGAGGGTTCTAGCTCTATATTGCTTTCCAATGATCCCTGCTGTGGAATCCGTTCATGTGGGTCTCTGGTGTGAATGGGATAAGATCTAGCATTGATGCCCCTGATTGTATGAGCCTCTGAGATTGTCAAAGTATTGTCCTGTACCTGAAGAACATCCAGTTGAAGGAGATACTGCAGGTCTGCGGCATCTGGGGAATTATCGTACAGAACAATACGAGGCAGTGCCATCGGGAGAGGAGGGGAGAGAAAGGGTAAAGGGTATCCCCACTGATCAGTTGTAACATTTGCCTCATCTTTCCAGCATACATCGCAATGCTGAGTATGGGCCAAGATCCAACTAATGACTGTCAAGATGATACACGGCAGGTTCGAATCGTTATCCAGAAACGGGGACAGAATGAGCCAACCCTGGGGACGGAGTATAGACAGAGGAAGATCACCATTCAGAACCGTATGTAATGCATTGAGTCATCATTAGGGACCGGCATCCAGTAGCTTTTACTCATCTGGTACACCCTTGTTAAAGTCCTTCACAAGCCATGGGTTAAAATGACTTTGGTTTCTCCCCTTGGCGTAGATTAACTTTCTGCAATTATTTACTAAATTCTTTGCCCAGCCTTTTAAAGCCTGCCATCATGCAACCAAACACCAAATCCAGGACTTGTTCTTTATTTCCCAATTCTTTAACTAAATGTCTAATTAATTTTAGTTGTCGTCTTGACTTGTTTGGAAGTGTCAGCCTGGGTCAGTTGCTAACATTCTGGCCTCTGGCTCAGAAGGTTATGGGTTCAAGCCCCATGTTAGGACTTTGAGCTCACAGTCAAGGCTGACACTCCAATACAGTGTTGGTGGAGTGTTGTCTTGTTGGAGGTAGAGTCTTGTAGTTCAGTGGTTAGAGCACTCGCCTCGCAAGGGAGAGACCTGGATTCCATTCCTGGCAGGGCAAAACCATGGACAAGATTCCTTACTCCACACGTCTAATAATAATCCCTCAAAGAAAAAAAACCCACAATAATACATTGGTCACTCACACCGCGACTGTTTGTGGGACACTGCAGTGCTCAATTGACTGCTGCATTTCGCCCACAAATATACAGTCAATTCACTTTACAGTGTGTTCTGTGAAGCGCTTTGGGACGTCCTCCCAACGTGAAATTCGCTATATCAAAATGCAAGGATTATTATCTAGAAGATGTGAAAAGTGCTTTATCAAATGCAAGGATTATTTTTTATTATAAAGGTGTCATTTTTCAGATGAGATTTTTTTTAAAAAGAGGCAAGGTCCCATGTGCCTCTTCAGGTGGATGTTAAAAGATCCCATGGTACAATTCAAAAAGAGAAGGAAGTTTCTCCTGGTGTTCTGGCCAACAATCCCCCAGATAAAATTTAGTCATTCACTTCATGGCTGTTTGTGAAACATTCATGTGTGCAAATTGGCTGCTGCCAAATGCACAAACACTACACTTTGCATTAAATCCTGTGAAGTGCTTTTCGGCAACATGATAAAGTGCAAAATCAAATGTAAGGATTAATAATATTTTCCTTTTAATTCAACATTAATAGTCAAAGCTGTAACTCCAGATTACTTTATCTGTAGCTCAGTGGTTAGCGCATTCGCCTCACAAGCAAGAGACCTGGGTTCGATTCCCGGCAGGGCAAAACATTGGGCAAGTTTCCTTACTCCACACACACAACTATTTATCTAGCATTTAGTAGGAACCCGATTGTTAGTCAATTGGCGGATCATTTTTCCAGGGGTAATAATTCCTTCCAAAAAAAATAACAAATTGGACACTCACTCCATGACTGTTTGTGGGACTCTGCTGTGTGCAATTGGCTGCCATGTTTTGCCCACAAACTATACAGTCAATTTACTTTACAGTATATTCTGTAAGTGCTTTGCGACGTCTCGAAGACATGGTAAACCGCTATATCAAATGCAAGGATTATTATTATCTTATGTGAATGTGTTTACCTTGCAGAAGCTGATCTACTAATTACTGAAGTGATGTGGTGGGATCATGGTGTCTATTTCTGTTCTGTTGAGGCACCCGGTGACACCACTGGAGACCCAGACAAGGAAGTTCGACTCATTGTTTTACGTATGTTTTTATAACTCAATTTAAACATCGTAAGGACCAGGTTCCATAAATTTTCAATGTATTTGCTGGTTAAAATCCTCTGTTGAAATCATTACTATGCTCTACTGTATTTACTTCATTAAAAGTGGAAAATCACAATAGCATATTAACTAAAGTTTTTTTGGGGGGTATGTGAGGAGGGGCAGTCACAAGAAGAGCAGTTGGGAATTGCCTGTATTTTTCTGGCTGTGTATATATAAGAAGCTAAACCTTCATATGAGGGAGAGGGGACTAGAGGGTATGGGAGAGAGTAATGAATGGGTGAAGACTCATGTGGAGTATTAAACACTGTAATAGATTGGTTGGGCCGAGTGGCCCATTTCCGTGCTGTACATTCTTTGTAAATATTGAACGTACTTTTTGTGCAGAGGGAAGACTTCTTTTTTAAAAAACTCTGTAAATTTGTACAGTAAACTTGAATTTAAAAAAAAGCGCCATCTAATTCAGCAAAGCTGTCCGCGACCTTGTCTACAATAAGCTCTTTAAGTCATACCACCTATTAAAATGCTGTTCCTTCTCTTGCAGACTGGCTGACTGTGCTTTTCATTATCCTTGGTGCTCTCTTGCTGTTTATGTTGATCGGCGTCTGTTTCTGCCAGTGCTGCCCACAATGTTGCTGCTGCTATGTCCGATGTATCTGTTGCCCAAAACGCTGCTGCTGTCCAGAGAAAGGTAAATGTTTTTAAGAGCCAATTTGTAGCCGGAGAGTGAAGTCTGCACAAAGCACTATAGAATAGTGAGGTCTTCTGCCTTCTGCTTGACAAAATGAGCACAGCATGATAAAAGAGAACTCCTGTGGATTTATGAGTATTCATTAAACGGAAAAATAAATGGATCAAGAGGAAAAGAAAATTGGATTTTGGGAAATAAAAAGGAAGCCTTATTTTTATGGGAATCAAGTGTACATAAAAGGAATGAACCTGTTTTTGATAGATTTATAGCATTGATTTAGGGGCTGGAAGGAAATTAACAAAATATAAAACTCACATGTGTAGCTGAAGGTAGCCCTGCAAACATAGAAAAGAGAACAGCAAAAAACAAAAGATCGATCTGCGAAATTCATGCTGCTGAATGAAGCCATGAATTGAACCCAGTAAAGAAAGACAGAGTCCTGAGCTAGATGACTAACTTCATTTATTTCAACTTTCCCACCTCCGAAGTTTTTCACTGGACTTCACTGCTTCTGGACTACATTGAAGCTTGTTTTAATGGTGTTGCTTTCCTTATATACAAATATTAAAGTTCCTTAAATCTTTCTCTCCACTTTATTCTTCCCCACCATCACCTCTTAGATTTTAGCAAGACAAAAGTGTTGTTTTTCACCCATCGGGATTCTTAATTTGGCTACAAGATTAGGCTCCAAAGCTCCTCCCAGTCAATGCAAAAACAGACAGTATTAATGGAAGTCTTTGTGACTATGTAACTTTAATATAGCCATCAACTTGTGACTACTTTGGACTATCTTTCTGGTGAAACCCAATACAACTCTTATGTTCACTTAACTATGGACAAAGCACTTTGGGTCATGTGTGAGTTTAATACAAGTTTTACGATTTAGTCACTTTAATAACTGCCTGCATTTTATATGTTTCATATGATGTGTGAAAGTATAAATTTGATGATTAATTCATTTTATTTTTGTTAGCTCTTTTGAGGCACGAGTTGTTCAAACAAGCCAAGAAGGGTTTATTCCCATGGATGGACCCGTCAATGTATGGTGATGAAGAGAGACAAACCTTTATGCCTCCATATCATCCAAATATGCCGATTCCAAGAGGTACATATGTTTGTGTATTGAATCATGCAAATTTACAGCGCAGAAGAAAGCCATTTGGCCCATCAAGTCTGTACCGCTTCTCAGTACAAGCTCCACTTTCAATCTCGCTTCCCCATACCTCTTCAAGCCTGTAAGTTTTCAATGCAAATTATTGTATTGTAACTTTCATATACCCATTTACTTCCTTTTATCAAAACGGAAGTTGCTGGGCACACTCAGCAGGTCAGGCAGCATCTATGGAGAGAGGAAAGTGAGTCAACATTTCGGGTCCACGACCCTTCATCAGAACGTTGACTCGTTTTCCATAGATGCTGCCTGACCTGCTGAGTGTTCCCAGCCACTTCTGTTTCTGTTTCAGATTTCCAGCATCTGCAGTATTTTGCTTTTTACATTACGCCTGCAAAATATACAGTTAATTCACTTAACAGTATATTTTGTGAAGCGCTTTGAAACATTTCAAAGATGCGATAAGGTGCTATATCAAATGAAAGAATTATTATTATTATAGAATAAATAAAGAGAAACAACAGGGATGTTGGAAATCTGAAATAAAAGCATAAGCTGGAAGTGCAAAGGCCAAGGGTGGAGCCTTACAGGAAATTGTTACCCATTGGCAGTTTCTCTCCTGATGTTAAATTACTCATAATGATGAACCATTCCATGCGCACAAGCCCAAGAGATGGTTCTTCATGAGAGCCTGATCACTGAATGTCGGCAGGCAGTTCACCAGTGGAGGGCACCACAGCCAAGGCTGATCCTGTTTGACCCATGCACTTTGCAGCAGAGCTCACCGGATGTCAGTCTGGGTGTGGAAATCCAGGATCGTTTTCTCTCTTGCTCCCTCCCGCATCTCCATGCAATGAACTACACTTTAGGATTAAACTGAAAAAGCCCCACCATCCATCTCCTACTTTTCTTTGTGATTGTGCTTAATTATATTTGAACTCCAATTCACAGACGGAGTCCTAAATTACCATTCCTACTAAATTGGGCACTTTTAATAAGCAGAGTATACATATTTTTTTTTCCCCCTCCCCATCTCTGATGTCTGTTTGTGCTCATTTTTGTTCCGTGTTAGAGTATTCAATGAAGCACAGTATTCCACTGAGTGTGGTCCCTTACAGTGGCTACCCAAGCTCTTCTAACAAGATGCTGGACTACATAGAACATGAGGTGAAGACCATGAATGCATCCCAGTCTTTACAAAATGGAATCCATATAAGCGGCAGCTCACATCCCAGCATACTTTCATCGCTGGACAACGGAGTTCGAGAGGTGGAGCGCCGGGTCATCCAACTGCCTCCGTTGCTGCAGCGAATCCCGGAGTCCAGCCTTCCCTCATCGCACCGGACCAGCAACTCGTCCCACAGGAACAACCGTCACGATGAGAGGCAGCCCAGGAATCAGAGGCCTCAGGAGGGATCGAGGTCCAGCCGCAGCTCCCAAGACCGAAGATCCAACCGCCCTGCGGGGAGCAGGAGAGATAACCTGGACGAGGGTCGTTCCAGGCTGCCCTCAAGGAGCCGATTCCACGGCAGTTACAGCGACGACTCTGATTACGACGAGCGGTCGCGACGGAGCGGCTCCAATCACAGACGCGGCAGAAGAGGTTACGAAGAGGACAGGCGGCGAGAGCGCCGCGGAACGAGTGCCGACCGTTCGACTGAGCGAAGGAGCGGCCGCAGGGAGCGCAGCTACTCTCCCCCGTCGCTGGGAAGACGGAGGGCATCATGGAGTTCCCTGGATAACTATGAGCACGGCGGAGCTCATTCTGATAGAAGAGACGATCGGATGGCGAATTGGCTGGAATCCCTCAAGAAGCCGTTGAAATACCATGAGAAGCCCCCGAGCTATCATTCAGTGGACGGGGCATCGCAGGAAAGCAGCGCACGGAGATCACATAACGGCCGCCAGTCGGTGAGTCTTGGTCATTAAAGGATCACCTTTCCGAATGCAAATAACTTGTTAATAATTGCTGTCCTTACACAATCTGCTTGCGAGCATGAATCTTGACTCTTGCACACTCGGATTCTGCTGTGTTGCATGGTTTAAGATGCAGATGCATTGGTACAATACTTGGAGCACGCAATGCATGTTCATGTTCTAGGCCAATTTGCAACTAAGCGATGAGAGAGTTGTCAAAGGAATGTTTGGCATGATGAGAAATAAACATCGAGCTTTGCTCAGCTTTGTCTCTTTGGGACTCTCACTGCAAGTTTTGGAGAGTCAATAAATAAGCTGCTTTTCAGCAGCTAATCAAACTGCAAATACTAATTCATCTACAGTATCTCTACCTTGTGTTTCATATCAGTTTGTTTTTTTTATATTTGCTGAGTTACCCAGTGAAATGAATGAACAGGCTACACTAGCATAGTTTTACATAGAATGTACAGCAAAGAAATGGAACATTTGACCCTACCAGTCCGTGGCAATGTCTGTACTCCTAACTCCCTTCTACTCCCTGATGTACTGCGCAAACCGAAATCTATCAACATGCTTTTTTTTTTACATTGACAGGAGCGGGGAAGTTCTCGCAGCGGTAAAAGTGTGGTGATATGAAGTAATCTCCCCTTCATCACTTCTACACAACCCAATGGTCGTGGTGTGGGTTGCAAAGCAGCTGGTGACCTTTATCTTCTCTCAAGCAAACCTCTTTCATTAGAGACTTTCACAGCACAAAAAGTAATTGAGCCAAGCTTCTGTTTGAAGCAGATAACAGATAGTCTGTTTGGAATGCGACAAACTTTATAGGATAAACAAGCTTATTCCATGATCATTCATTGAGAAACATGCAGAAGTAGAACAATTAGAGATTTATCTCGAGTGTGAATGTGGTTGTTTTTTTTAGACTGATGCACACGACTGCAGTTTGACTCTTGTTCTGAAATTCTATCCAGCTGTTTCTATGGGGCCAGTGTGAAGAATGAGCAAAATATTCCTTAAATGTGAGGGGGCCAGAAATAGTACATTAACTCTTGAGACGGCTGGTGAGCATTTCGGTTTGAGTCAAGTTATGGAACTGGAAAACAAAAAATCCTGAACACATTCTTATAATAATCCTTGCATTTAATATAGCGCTTTTCATGTCTTCTAGATGTGTCAGAGCGCTTCACAGCATATTCTGTGAAGTGAATTGACTGTATATTTGTGGGCGAAATGCGGCAGTCAATACACAGCTAGTGTTCCACAAACCATCGTGGATTGAAGTGACCAATTTATTATTTTTTTCAATTTGAATAAACTGCAAAGAAAATTGTAATGTCAAAAGGATTATAAATAGGCTTTTAAATTGAAATTCCACATCTGTTATTGACACTTGTGCTCCCTTTCTTGAAATTTAAATGCTATGTAAATAAAACAAATTGCATAATTGTTTCTGTATTTTAATACAAAAATATGTTGTATGGATACAACTTATTTTCTTGTTTGTAGCACTGAATTTATACCCTTTTTTAAAAAAAAATGTACATATGAGATAGTCTATTACTGAATCTTCAGTTTTACCATCTAAAATTCTTTTTCGCTATTTTATGTTGTCTGACCGGTAATACTGGCGGGTCAAGCATTATTGTGTGTATGTGTGTGTATATATATATATATATATAGGCTGGAGCTCAGATCTATGCACTGTTGTAGCCTTGATGTGTGGAAGGTTTTGTATTCTGGATTGCCAGTAATTTTATTTTCACTGCATTGCTGTAGGCTGCACGAATGATGTGCAGGACTTGGGTCACTTTGAGGTGTGTTCACAGCTTCGCCAATTTGATATTATTCCAGCCAGTTCTGTTAGTGTGCAACCAGCGCCAAGGTGCAGTGTAAGACGGATGAAATATCTGAACCTCAAACTGTATAAATGAGACCCCATTATGAAGTTGTCCCTTATGTTTAAATCTTTAAGAAGTCTTAGTGTACAATACTTTTTTCAATAAATGTTGTTTGCTACCTACCAATAGTGTGTGATGATTGGCAAATTTAAGTACAGTAATAGCAATTATGATTGATTAAAAATGTGACCTACTCAAAAATCTAAAATTTTAAGAGGTCTCCAGCTTCAGCAACTAGCATTGCAAACAATACTAGCAATTTGTTTTCTTACACATTCTACAATGATAAATACCACATTTTTATGCTGAAGACCAGTTCCCCGTTGTGTCATTAGGTAAGATCCCAAATGGATTGAAAAGTAATCCTAAGAATGACTTTTGCCTTAAGTATATTGGCAGCAGCTGGGAATTCAGTCAGTTACTGTCAGTCACTGTTGGAAGTGCTATCCTTTGGATGAATTGTTAAACCAAGGTTCTGTATGTCGGCAGGACATTAAATATCCCGTTGGTACTATCCAAAAAGAGAAGGGAGTTTCTCCCGGTAGCCTGGCCAACACTTCTCCTGCTAAAATTGATCATTCCTTTCATGACTGTTTGTGAGATAGTCCTGTAAGCAAATTGTCTGCCGTATTCATCTACAAATGCATAGTCACTACCATTTACAGTAAATCTTGTGACAGATTTTGAAATATTTTGATTACTTGAAAAGGCACCATAACAAATGCATAATTTTCATTCCGCCACAAGGGTGCCTCATATTGACTGATCAGAGTAGGGATGATTGACAAGAAGTCAGCAGCCTGAGCCATATTGCTTATTTAGATAAAATAAGTTGCATATAGACAAAGTAATTGGAAGTGAAAAAGGTAATCTCAGCCAACCAAAGCATTTAATATGAAACAGTATTGACAATTATTTAAAAAATCTTATATTGGCACAATGTCAATTTTTCATGCTTATTAAAATATATCCCAACATAACATCCAACATTATGCACTGGATGACTGTAGTTTTGAATTTATGTTGCTCTTAACATGTGATGAAGTTGAAATACCCAATTTTAATAGAAGTGAATTTAGATTCCGATACATTGAGCAACTCTTGTTTTTCTCCTCCCTACCTCCCCCACCCCCACTCAAGATCCCAGTCAGATGTGTAAAGTGCTTTGAAACGTCCTTCCTAAACAAATGTAAATTGTATTTCAAACAGCTCTTACGGTTTACAAAAAAATACATAAGTAAGTGACTTTCTTGGCCCATTACAAGAAATAGGACTGTTAGTAAATTTGTTTACAAGTTATGCATAAGATTACAAAAAAGGAATTTTAATAACACCCCTATCCTCTACGTCCTCTGGTGAAAGATGCAAGCAATCAATTAAATTCCAGAGCAACAATTTTAGGAAAATATGTTTCTATCAATGTTAGAAAGACCCTGAATATTTGTTCGTTTGATTTCTTCGATCGGTACCACATTTAGCACAAGGTCTTCAAATCCACCGACCTTTTGTTTGGAGAAATCTTATCAAAGCAACGCAGAGCATTAATTGTGAAACTTCCATTCATTGATGATAGCCAAGCTTGTTCACCTAAAGGGAAGCAAAAACAGAATGTTGAAAGCAACCTGGATGTTAGGCCACTTAATTCGGCTGTTCTTAATAGGGTAAGCAACCCTGTCCCCTGCCCCGTGCGAGTTTAAAAACAGTACAGTTGATCCAAATTTTGCTATCTATGGCAGCTTTGCAGTAACTAAGACGGGACTTATTGCGATAGCACATTGAATGCTTTATTTGGTGAAAGCAAAAATATTGCAAAAGGTTTATTCACAATTTCGTGCATAATTCTAAGAGTGGGATGTGTTCTGTAGAATTTTTTTTCAAAATATAATCTCTAGATCTAATCTCGAGCAGCTGGACACAGAAAAAGTACTAAAACCACTGATCTGCCATTTGTCCCCAAACTGCTATAAAAGTTAGTAACCTCTTACCAGTCAGTGTTCTTCTGTACTTGACTTTGAGGTTGGACGCTGTAATATTCCTCCGGTGTGACTGTTTTAACTCCACCAAAGTAATCCAACACCCAGATATTGGTAATGTTGAGTTTGGCAAAATACCATCCATGATCACGAGGCCAATCAGCCATTTCTGGGTGTCTGCTGAACAGGGCATCTTTGGCAAAGGCCTCCTCTGATCCGTTCACCTGAAAAAATAAAAGGTGCATAAAATTGATTGATTGCAAGACAAGAAATAAATTGGAAAAGTGTTTTAACAAAGGAACTAGCTCAGTAGTTAGAGCACTCGCCGGGCACGTGAGACACCTGGGTTCAATTCCAGGCAGGGTGAAACCTTGGGCAAGTTTCCTTACTCCACACGCCTAATAATAATCCCTCCAAAACAATAATAAGTTGGTCATTTTCAATCCACGACTGTTTGTGGGACACTGCTGTGTGCAATTGGCTGCTGCGTTTCGCCCACAAATATACGGTCAATTTACTTTACAGTCTATTCTATGAAGCGCTTTGAAACGTCGAGAAGACGTGAAAATCGCTATATCAATGGCAAGGATTATTATTATATAACACTGGAGGTGCAGAATACACCCTGCCTGCCTCCCACTGTAATTTGTTCTGTTGACAATAATACCACAGGACGGTGGCATTACTAAGCATTAACATACTCAAATGGATGTGGATTCCTGGCACTGGACTATCCTACCTCTGTACATGAGGATAATTTGACTACGAACAACAACAAGATTACATTTGTACAGCGCCTTTCACATCGGGCGGACGTCCCAAGGCGCTGGACAGTGTACAGCATTTTAATCTTGGAGGTAGCTGAGTACAGCATACAGTACAAATAATCTAATTCTAATGGGTCAGAAATTGACAATGTTGCACGCCTCCTTGTTCCATGTTGAAGACCAGCATTAATATTGACAGCTCATCATTTAACAACTCAATAGCAAGAAACTTATGACAAGGTAAACAAAAAACAACAGATTTTGTTTGGAAAAAAATATCAAGGAGGAAGATCAGAAGAGCTTTGTACCTTCACAGCCGGGAGGATTTATCAAACCGTCCTAAAGAGCAACATACCTTCATAACTGTGCCAGAGAAGATCACACGACAACAAAGGGGACTTTGGGGGTCATAGCCATGTTTACGACAATAGTCTGTCTCAGCCAAAGTCATGACCATGGATGCTGTTGGATTACACTGAATGAACCAAAGGTGAGAATACCAATTAATACAAATTAAAATAATCGTAAAATATCTAAAGTAAATCATACTTCATAAATGGTAAGTCAGTGTGTTTCCTTCATGTTTCCTGTACTCTCTGCCTCAATCCCTTCACATTTGTCCCCTCCTTACCCATCTTTAGATCGCATCTGAAGACCTTCCTCTTTACGAATGCCTACGTTCCTTTAAATGCAAGTTATTGTTGTATATCCTTTTCAGAGAAATGCAGGGTGGAGCACAAGGATATGAAAGAAAACCTGAAAGCAAAGATATGCTGGAAATGAATGTTAGCTAAACAGCAACTGAAAGAGCAAGACAAGGCAATGTTTCAAGTGCATCAAGGCTCCTCCAGTATTTCCTATTACTTCATAACTTGCACGCATCCTTTTTCAAACGCATGAAATAAACAGAACAACTTGCTTTTATATGGCGCCCTTCAAGTCAGGTGGCATCATGGAGCACTTCAGTGTGAAGGGGACGGAACTCTAAGATGTATTTCTTCATGCATTTTCCATTTTGTTTTAGAAAAAGTCCAATATTAAAGTAAGTGTTGCTCTGTACATTGGTGAGAACAAACTAAAATAATTTTTCTTCTCCAACACCCCATACGGAATATTGGTAGATGCCATGAATCATTCCCTCACCCCATTAACTCTGATACTCCCTGTATTAAGAAGAACCTGTAGCTCAGTGGTTAGAGCACTCGCTTTGCAAGCGAGAGACCTGAGTTCAATTCCAGGCAGGTCAGGGGGAAACCTTGGGCAAGTTTCCTTACTCCACACGCCTAATAATAATAATAATCCCTCCAAAAAACAAAACCAATAATAAATTGGTCATTTTCAATCCATGCCTGTTTGTGGGACATTGCTGTGCGCAATTGGCTGCCGCGTTCGCCCACAAATATACAGTCAATTCACTTTACAGTGTGTTCTGTGAAGCGCTTTGGGACGTCCTCCCGACGTGAAAAGCGCTATATCAAATGCAAGGATTATTATTATTATTATAACTGTGGTAAACTCATTGCTTCCTTCTTTGAGATACTGAATCCAAAAATTCGAGTTCATAAACATTGAATTCTAGTGTAGGTGTGTGTAGGTAAACTTTAGAAGAATGAAAAGAAAGCAACAGAAGCAGGTATTTCTGTAGCCATATCCCTTTAAGAAGTAAAAGGCAATTAAGAAAGAGCTAATGAAATGGAAGCAGGAAGTATAAAAGGATCCTGGGATGAAGTATTGAATTATTGTGAGCAGAGAAGAAAGGAATTATTAAATATTGCCAGGGTTGTGGATTGAGAATCATTACATGGTGTCAGAAGTAACATTGAACTTGGACTGGAATTAACCACTGGATTGAACACAGACTTTAAAACAAAAAAAATGAATTCGGGAACAGGAGAATCAGTTGCCATACCAAGGTATGTGCAAATACCGTGTCCACTCAAGTTGGTCGGGAACTTGAGACACAACTGGCACCGGCTTGAGAGTGATTTTAAAACAACAACTGCTACTTGGATTTATATAGCGCCCTCCATGCCGGGCGGCGTCTCAGAGCGCTTTACAGTAACGGATCCAGGGGGAGGGGGAGGAAGGTGACCAAAGGTGCGGTCGAAAAGAAAGGTCTTCAGCAGAGATCTGAAAATGGGAAGGGAGGGAGCGAGACGAATGGAGTGAGGAAGGTTCCAGAACCTCGGGGCGTAGTGGCTGAAGGCACGGCCGCCGAGGGTGGAGCGGAGGACTCGGGGGACGAGGAGGAGGCCAGACCCGAAGGAACGAAGGCAACGGGTACTGTTTTGAGGAGAGAGATCAGAAGGTTGGTTTTTTTTAAATAAACCTTCGTGATAGCCTCAATATTTGAGGCAACTACCTCTGCTATGTTCCTGAATATATCAGGTGAGAGAGTACTTTGCAACTATGGAAAGGGATATGGATCTGTCTTTGGATGATATAATGTCTAATATAGTGACATTAGATATAGTGACTGGAAGAAACATGACAAGGAGCGGAAAAGAGAGAAGGAAACAGCAGCAGAGAGAGCTCAAAGTGGAACACTTGGACCCAGATAAAAACAAGGCAATCACATCAATGTTAATAATAATAATGATATTATGTTATTAACAGAAACAGAAAAGTGTTGAGGAACAGATCTAAGATTTTAGAAAAGGGGATTGTATTAGAAGAGTGTAAATAGAATCTCTCCCCCGCAGAGGCTAAATTCCCTAGGGATGAAATGGATCTTGTCGCACTGGAAATGGAAAAACAAAAATTTGCAGAAAATTGACAGGTGATTTGGGAGAGAATGAATTCAATGAGGATCCAAACGTTTTGAATTGCCGAGTATTAAGAGTTACTGAAGCTGAAACAAACTGGGTCTATCCAAGTAAAGAACTTTAAGATGAACATTTTGAAAAATGGGGAAAGTTATCAGAAGGAAAATGCAGAAAAAGATAAGGGAAAGAAAGAACCAGAGAGAGTAGTGGAAGAACAAGGCTAGAGTGGTGGCGGGGGGGGAAAATAAGACTGGACAAGGGAAAACGTAGGATGTCCTTTTAAGATGTAAGGCAATTAGGAAAGCCAATGAAATAACTGAAAGACCGCTATAAAAGAAACCTTTGAAATCATTGGAGAGGACAAGTTTACCGGGCTATAGAGAGCGGGGGCAGTGGAATTGAATTGGATTGCTCTTTTTAAAAGTTCCGGCACAGACACGATGGGCCGAATGGCCTCCTTCCGTGCTGTATAACTCTACGATTCTATGATCATGTAACTGTAATGCTGCACATGCTTTTACTGCTGATCGAAACACATAGATCCAAAGACAAAGATTGACTCAGCAGTTCTGGACATTTTGCTGAGTCAGCCTTGTACGACAGTTCACATTTTTCTGAGTACGGCACTTCTGAGCACAACTTCCCACAAATTTATTTTTTAAGGTGAATTCGGAAGTACAGTAAACCTGGTGTGGTTTACACAAATCACCAGTGTACGTCTCACAATATCCTGTTCATGTTCTCCTGTACACAGCTTATAAACTTTGGTTTAACATAATGTACCTAAATTTCAAAATCAAGTAAACTCTAGGATTACGTTGTCAACTAGTCCGCGCTGGTGTGTATTCTCTACACACGTCTCCACTCCCCTATTCCCCTCTCCTTTATACTTCTCGGTTTCCTCATGAATGCATCAAGTTCCTTCTGAAATACTTTTGATGCTTTTTGCTTCAATCACAGCTTCCAGCGATGAGTTCCACATCGTCACTACCCTCAGTGTGAAGAAGCTCCTTCTAAACTCTCTGATAGATCCAACACAAGCTACCTTATATTTATGCTCCCTCGTTTTAAACTTCATACGCTATGTTATTAGAAGGACCTCAGTTAAGTGTTCGATGATAAGAGGGCACGAATGAAGTTAAGAACAGTTCACAAGCAACAAAAGCATAACAGGTCTCCCCACCCACACCCTTCCCGCAGCAATGGGGAGGAACAGTCATTTAAAAACAAATATAAAAATGTTGATTTGTGAGTTTAAAGGACTTGATTGTAAGCACGCCAGGTTTGCTGTACTTCCTGATTTGCATTATATAATTAATTTGTGGGATATTTGTGCTCAGAGGTGCAGTACGTAGGGCTGTTTGACAGTCACATGTTTCTAACTCAGCAAAGTGTCCAGAACTGCTTTGCCTTCGATCTATGCGTATTATCAGCAGGCAGCAGCCAAGGGTGTGGCAGTAGCAAAATATTTCAGTTATGTTTATCTAAAATTGTTTGTTTTTACAAACTCAAGTTGAAAAGGATACAGCAACAAGAGAGAAATACTTATAAAATTCAGTTACTTAGTTTCATAATAACAACAAACAAATTAAGACTGGTTTAATCAATACCGTTTTACATTTAATAATAATCCCTCCAAAACCCCAAAACAATAATAAATTGTTCATTCTCAATCCATGACTGTTTGTGGGACATTGCTGTGCGCAATTGGCTGCCGCGTTCGCCCACAAATATACAGTCAATTCACTTTACAGTATATTCTGTGAAGCGCTTTGGGACGTCTAGAAGACGTGAAAAGCGCTATATCAAATGCAAGGATTATTATTATTATTATCAGCAGGCAGCAGCCAAGGGTGGGGCAGCAGCAAAATATTTCAGTTATGTTTATCTAAAATTGTTTGTTTTTACAAACTCAAGTTGAAAAGGATACAGCAACAAGAGAGAAATACTTATAAAATTCAGTTACTTAGTTTCATAATAACAACAAACAAATTAAGACTGGTTTAATCAATACCGTTTTACATTTAATAATAATCCTCCAAAACCAAAAAAAAATAAATTGTCATTTCAATCTACGACTGTTTGTGGGACATTGCTGTGCGCAATTGGCTGCCGCGTTCGCCCACAAATATACAGTCAATTCACTTTACAGTGTGTTCTGTGAAGCGCTTTGGGACGTCCTCCCGACGTGAAAAGCGCTATATCAAATGCAAGGATTATTATTATTATTATTATCTCTCATAATTGTGGCACTCTAAATCCCATTGTGTTCGAACTGCTGTGCGTACTGCGTGAAGCCAAAGTTGCACTTGTTTCATAGAATAGATGTCTCGGCAGAAGAGAAGGCCATTTGGCCCATCGTATATGTGCTTTGATAGCTCCTCACTGCAGTCTAATCCCATTTCCCGGGACACTTTTGCATACGGTATTTTATCTTCACCTGGTTATAACGTCATTGATTTTAAACGTGTGATTGGCTCAGTGTCAATAGAAACTTATAGCCACTCACACAATAACAACAAATGACATTTGTTTAGTGCCTTTCATGTCGGGAGGACGTCCCAAAGGTTACATGTTCCGCATCCTAAAACTTTTGCGCAAAAATAATGTCTTCTACAATTGGTAAATACATAATAATCCGTGCATTTAACATGCATGGTAGATATTCCAAAAGGACAGGTTTTAGAGTGGGTTTTGAAAGCGAAGAGGAAACTGGAGCAAGAGGATAGGATGGCATTGGGGGGGATGATTCACAAGAGAGTTTCAGAGAACAGAAAAAAAGGAGGAATACGGGTTTAAGTGTCCGAAAGGTGGTAAATAGACTACCATCTGAAGTCCACCGGGTGTATGTTGTGTTGTATTTAAATAAAAGGGGAGATTCAACAGAGACGTTCAAAATTATGAAGGGTTTTGATAAGAGCAAATAAAGAGAAATTGGTTCCACCGGTCGGTAACCAGCGGACGCAGATTTAAGGCAATTTGCTAAAAAACCAGAAGGGAGACGAGGAGACATTTTTTTTTACACACACAACGCGTTGCTACGATCCTTTCACTGCCTGAAAGGGTGGTGGAAGAGGATTCAGTAATAAGTTTCAAAGGGGAATTGAAGAAGAAAACATTTGCAAGCCCATGGGGATAAGAGCGGGGGAGCGGGGACCAGTCGGGCAGCCCTTTCAAAGAGCAGTCACGGGCACGGTGCGCCGAAGAATAATCATCACGATAGTAACAAGAATAATCCTCGCGTCTTCCGAGACGTCTCGAAGCGCTCGACGGGGACGGACACAGTGAACGAAGCGAACTGACCGCGAGATGTTGCGGGAGAAACGATCGGTCGCCCGCCGGACCGCCCGCCCGCCCGCCGGACCGCCGGACCGCCCGCCCGCCCGTCGAAGTGACCAAACGATCATCATCATCATTATTATTATTACTACATTTTTAACCCCTCTTCTCCCCACCCCACCCCCCCCCCCCCAAAAAAAAATGTTATTTTTCTGACTGGGTTGCAATCATTTCTATGAGTCTCCCCCACCCACCCCTACACCCCCCCACCACCCCCTACACCCCCAATAAACAGCCGAGGCCCTTCTCTGGCCAGTGCCAAAACAAGAGCACGTGCACAGCCTCTGGAGGAGGGAGGAGGAAGAGGAAGGAGGAGGGAGGAAGAGAAAGGAGGAGGAAGAGGAAGGGGGAGGAGGGGGAGGAAGGAGGAGGAGGGAGGAAGAGGAAGGAGGAAGAGAAAGGAGGAGGAGGAAGGGGGAGGAGGAAGGGGGAGGAGGGAGGAAGAGGAAGGAGGAGGAGGGAGGATGAGGAAGGAGGAGGAGGAAGAGGAAGGAGGGAGGAGGAGGAGGAAGGAGGAGGAGGAGAGAGGAAGAGGAGGGAGGAGGAGGAAGAGGGAGGAAGGAGGGAGGAGGAGGGAGGAGGAGGAGAGAGGAAGAGGAAGGAGGAGGAAGAGGAATGACGAAGAGGAAGAAGGAGGAAGAGGGAGGAAGGAGGAGGAGGGAGGATGAGGAAGGAGGAGGAGGGAGGAAGAGGAAGAGGGAGGAGGAGGGAGGAAGAGGAAGGAGGAGGAAGAGGAGGAGGGAGGGAGGAGGAGGAAGGAGGAGGAGGAGATGTCCTCACCTGCAGGTCCTGCACTGAGATCTCCAGGGGGGTGAGGTACATGTAGGGGACGCCGCTGCCGCCGTCGCTGACCGAGAAGACGTTGGCGAAAGGCCGCCCCGCGCCGGGGGCCCGGCGGCAGCTCAGGGAGGCCAGAGAGCCCCACACACACCGCGCCGACAGGAAGCGCGCCATCCGGGCCACCTGCCCGGGGGGGGGGATGGAGCCGCCCGGAGCCCCGAGGAGGAGGAGGAGGGGGACGGGGAGGAGGAGGAGGGCCGTCGGAGCCATCGGAGGGCCTGAGGTGAGGCGGAGAGAGAGAGAGAGAGAGGCAGCGCCGAACCCGACTGCCCGACCGCTGTCTGTCACCACCACCTGATCCCCCACCGCGATCACATGGCCCTCACTCTCACTCACTCACTCACTCACTCTCACACCCACTCTCACTCACTCACTCACTCACTCACACACTCTCACACCCACTCACTCTCAGCCTCAGCTCTCACTCACTCACTCACAGCCTCAGCTCTCACTCACTCACTCACACTCACTCACTCACTCTCACACCCACTCTCACTCACTCACTCACTCTCACTCACTCTCACACCCACTCTCACTCACTCACTCACTCTCACTCACTCACTCACTCTCACACCCACTCTCACTCACTCACTCACTCTCACTCACTCACACACTCTCACTCACTCACTCACTCACTCTCACTCACACCCACTCTCACTCACTCACTCACTCTCACACCCACTCTCACTCACTCACTCACTCTCACTCACTCTCACTCACTCTCAGCCTCAGCTCTCACTCACTCTCACTCACTCACTCACTCTCACTCACAGCCTCAGCTCTCACTCACTCTCACTCACTCTCACTCACTCACTCACACTCACTCACTCACTCTCACTCACTCACTCTCAGCTCTCACTCACACTCACTCACTCTCACTCACTCACAGCCTCAGCTCTCACTCACTCACTCACAGCCTCAGCTCTCACTCACTCTCTCAGCCTCAGCTCTCACTCACTCACTCACACACACACCCACTCTCACTCACTCACTCACTCTCACAGCCTCAGCTCTCACTCACTCACACTCACTCACTCACTCACTCTCACACCCACTCTCACTCACTCACAGCCTCAGCTCTCACTCACTCACACTCACTCACTCACTCTCACACTCTCACTCACTCACTCTCACTCACACACTCTCACTCACTCACTCACTCTCACTCACAGCCTCAGCTCTCACTCACTCACTCACTCACTCACTCACTCACTCTCACACCCACTCTCACTCACTCACTCTCACACACTCACACTCACTCACACTCACTCACTCACTCTCACTCACTCACTCTCACTCACTCACTCACTCACACTCACTCTCACTCACTCACTCTCAGCCTCAGCTCTCACTCACTCACACTCACTCACTCACTCTCACCCTCAGCTCACACTCACTCACTCTCAGCTCTCACTCACTCACCCTCAGCCTCAGCTCTCACTCACTCTCACTCACTCACTCACAGCCTCAGCTCTCACTCACTCATTCTCACTCACTCTCAGCCTCAGCTCTCACTCACTCTCACTCACTCACTCTCAGCCTCAGCTCTCACTCACTCACTCTCACTCACTCACTCTCAGCCTCAGCTCTCACTCACACTCACTCACACCCTCAGCTCTCACTCACTCACTCACTCACTCACTCACAGCCTCAGCACAGCTCTCACTCACTCACACTCACTGCCAGAGCACAGCTCACTCTCACTCACTCACTCACTCACTCACAGCCTGAGCACAGCTCTCATTCACTCACACTCACTCTCACACACTCACTCACTCACACTCACTCACAGCCTGAGCACAGCTCTCACTCACTCACACTCACTCACTCACAGCCAGAGCACAGCTCTCACTCACTCACTCACTCACTCACACTCACAGCCAGAGCACAGCTCACACACTCACTCACTCACACTCACTCATTGCCAGAGCACAGCTCACTCTCACTCACTCACTCACTCACTCACACTCACAGCCAGAGCACAGCTCTCACTCACTCACTCACTCACTCACACTCACTCACAGCCAGAGCACAGCTCACACACTCACTCACTCACACTCACTCATTGCCAGAGCACAGCTCACTCTCACTCACTCACTCACTCACACTCACTGCCAGAGCACAGCTCTCACTCACTCACTCTCACTCAGACTCACTTACTCACTCACAGCCAGAGCACAGCTCTCACTCACTCACTCACTCACTCACTCACTCACTCACTCACTCACTCACTCACTCACTCACAGCCTGAGCACAGCTCACACTCACTCACAGCCAGAGCACAGCTCTCACTCACTCACTCACACTCACTGCCAGAGCACATCTCACTCACTCACTCACTCACTCACTCACTCACTCACTCACAGCCAGAGCACCTCACTCACTCACTCACTCACAGCCTGAGCACAGCTCACACTCACTCACAGCCAGAGCACAGCTCTCACTCACTCACTCACTCACACTCACTGCCAGAGCACATCTCACTCACTCACTCACTCACTCACTCACTCACTCACTCACTCACTCACTCACAGCCTGAGCACAGCTCACACTCACACAGCCAGAGCACAGCTCTCACTCACTCACTCACTCACACACTCACTCACTGCCAGAGCACATCTCACTCACTCACTCACTCACTCACTCACTCACTCACTCACTCACTCACTCACTCACTCACTCACAGCCTGAGCACAGCTCTCATTCACTCACAGTCTCAGCACAGCTCCCACTCACTCACTCCCTCACACTCACAGCCAGAGCACAGCTCTCACTCACTCTCACACTCACTCACACTCACAGCCAGAGCACAGCTCTCACTCACTCTCACTCACTCACACGCTCACTCACACTCACTCACAGCCTGAGCACAGTTCTCACTCACAGTCTCAGCACAGCTCCCACTCACTCACTCCCTCACACTCACTCACTCCCTCACACTCACATCTCACACACTCACTCACACTCACTCTCACTCACACACAGAATATATACACACACAGAATACAGACACACACACACAATATACACAAACATGGACACAATGTACACAAACACACACAATATACACAAACACGGACACAATATACACGAATACACACAATATACACACACACACACAAACAATATACACACAATACACACGCACAGAATATACACACACTGATATGTCTCGCTTTAGCACAGAATACACACACGCACACATTCCTTTACAATGAGCTATTGGGATTTACATAGAATAATGCCATAGTTACAATACATTTCCCTAGCATATACATACAGCTCTACAAATTCGCTAGAATATGCATACTACCGGGTGGATTTACATAGAATAGGCATAGGATTGTGTATAATTACCTAGAATTCACGTGCTGCTTTGGGGGATTTACATAGAATACATATACCAATATATGTATAATTATAATATATATTTGATTGAATAAACACAGTTATGCACATAGGATGTCAAACAGCGGTGACCATATAGCATATTATTTAATTTGCATTGAGTGTATTTAAAAGTTTCTAATCATATGTTATGATTATCTGTCCTCAGTCCCCTCCTCTTCAACATCTATATGCTCCCTCTTGACGACATCATCCGCAGACATGGGGTCAACTTCCACATGTATGCGGATGACACCCAACTCTACCGCTCTGCCTCCTCCCTCGACTCCAGGACCACTGCTGTCCTGACAGAATGTCTATCAGACATCAAGTCCTGGATGAGAGCTAACTTTCTTCAGTTGAATGTCAACAAGACCGAGGTTCTCCTGATTGGCTCCTGTCAGCGCCTACTCACCTCCATCCATAGTTGCACACTCCGCCTTGCTAAGCTAGTCCGCAACCTTGGCGTATTGTTTGACCCTCAACTATCTTTCTAACTCCCCATCTGAGCCATGATCCGCTCTGCCTTCCCCCACCTCAGCTCCGCAACATTGCCCAGCTCTGCCACTGAAACCCTCATACACCCCTTCATACATCGAGGCTCGACTATGCAAACTCACTGCTTGTCGGCCTCCCCAAATCCTCCCTCCACATGCTGCAGATCATCCAGAACTCTTCAGCCCGTGTCCTCTCCTGCACTAGGCTCCATGACCCTATCGCCCCTATCCTCATCCAATTCCACTGGCTTCCCATCACACAAAGGATACAGTTCAAGATCCTGGTCCTCACCTTCAAAGCCCTCTTAACTCCCTACCATCCTTTTCGCTCCACACAGTGGGCTTCACTACTTATTCATAAGGCCAACACAGACACAATGATCGGAAAACCTTATTTTGTGAAGTAAAGTTCTATGGTTCCAACGCTACATAAAGAAGTAAAATCACATTCAAGGTGTCATTTGATGTTCCAACCACAAGATGCCGGTGTAGACTGAAGTTTTGTGCCTCTAAAACCTCCCCAAAGAGGAAATTCACATTAAAGGTTGTGGTTGCAATCTGACCTTCCAACCACAAGATGCCAGTGTAGACTGAAAGAAACAGCTCCTCTTAACAACAGCAAGATTACATTTGTATAGCGCTTTTCACGTCGGGAGGACGTCCCAAGGCTTTGGACAGAGTACAGCATTTCAGACCCAAGCTGGGGTCGGTGGGGAAAAGGGAGGGGAGGGGAAGGGGCCGATGACATAGTTGAAGAGGAGGGTCTTGAGGTGGGACTTGAAGGAGGGGGCAAGGCGGAGTGACTGGGGGATGGAATTCTAGAGGTTGGGGGCAGAGTGGCTGAAGGCTTTCCTGCCAATGGTGGGGCAGGTGGGTCGGGGGACATGGAGCAGCCAGAGCCGGTTGAGCGGAGGGAACGGGCGGGCTGGTGGGTTAGGAGGTTGCAGAGGCAGGATGGCGAGGACTAGATCTTGAAATGGATCCTCTGAAGGATAGGGAGCCAATGGAGTCAGGCGAGAGTGGGTGAGATGGGGTCACGGAGTTTGGTGCGGGAGAGGACACAGGCTGCAGAGTTCTGGATTATCTGCAGTCTGTGGAGGGAGGAGTTGGGAAGGCCAACAAGCAGGGCGTTTGCATAGTCGAGCCTGGAGGTGATGAAGGCATGAACAGGAGTTTCAGTGGCCTGAGGGGTGAGGTAGTGGCGGACTCGGGCAATGTTATGGAGATGAGGGAAGGCAGAGCGGGTCATGGCTTGAATGTGGGGGAGAAAAGACAGTTGAGGGTTGAACAAGACACCCAGGTTCCTGACTGGCGGTGAGTTGTAGTGTGCAACCATGGAGG